AGCTGAACATAAGAGCTCTGCTGGATCAGACCAAGGGTCCACACAATGTTTAAGAAATAGCCCTTTCTCCAGCTACTACAGTGGTACCTCGGATTACAGATGCTTCAGGTTACAGACTCCGCTAACCCAGAAATAGTACCTTGGGTTAAGAACTTTGCTTCAGGATGAGAACAGAAATCGCACAGCGGCGGCCCCATTAGCTAAAGTGTCACCTCAGGTTAAGAACTGTTTCTGATTAAGAACAGACTTCCAGAACGAATTAAGTTCTTAACCCAAGGTACCACTGTAGTATTATTCAGAGGTGTAGCTTTTCTGATTCAAAAGTTATTTTCCTGATTTAAATAACCTCATTGCATGAATATTGCAAATTGCAATCCATGATTGAGCAAGGTACCCTCGCTCCTTATTCGTCCCCTCTTTTCACCACCACCTCACCTAGGTGCGCCTCCTTTTTGGTGATGAAGGGCAGTATAAATATGCAATAATAAGGAAGATGCAAGCTGGAGTTTCCTCCCACTATCTTCTTAATCCCAGAGCAGATAGACAAGCAGGGTCAGCAATGAGACCTGGATATTGGAGGAGCAGGACAGGAGAAGCTGTGGTTACATACACTTCTGCAGCTGCTGAGCTGTTAATGAGACAGGCAGGATTTCTAGGTTGTGACCTGGCAGCCTTAGCTGTGGCAGATGCACTTAAACAAGGACATATGCAAATGAGCAATAGCTGGTGATTTTATTCTTCGTCCTGCATAGAATCTGAGCTGCCTTGCACTTGGAAAGCCAGATCAGAATTAAGTAGGCTGCAGGCCCTTTAGTGACTCACACGCTCATCCTTCCAAGGGCTTCTCTTTCCTCATCATCTGGTGCCTGTATACTCATTTTCACATATTTGTTTGGGCAAAAATTGTGTAACCTTGGTTTAAGCTGGTAACTGGTCCACATTTGTCTGCCTCAATAGGTTTTCCCTATACTTTTGGGTTTGCACACAATCCATTTAAAATGAAATTGTCTTAATATGGCTTTGGTACACCTCAGCATTTCTCTAAGGTGACTGTTTTAAGATCTCCCACAGTAGTTCAATGTCTCTCTGCTGAAGTTTCCAGACTCCCAGTTTCCACGAAAAAAGCAGAGGTGCACAGGTGTATATGCCTGTGGAAGTGCAGAAATACCCATTGGTTTATATCCTATTCCATGAGTGTGCTGCCACCTAGCAACAATTGAACGGATTCAGCCTTACAAACATGTGACTAGAAAATCAGAATACCAGTAGCACATCCATGCCAAAGAAAGTAAGAACCCCATTGGGTTCAATAGGAGTTACTCTGAGGTATGGGTAAATCTGGGGAGAAGTTAGATTCAGATTGCATTCAAAGGTAAACCTACCTCATTCACATTTTCTGAAGCAGTACACAAACGAAAACATTCATTTCTCTGGGTTTTGCAGTGCCGTTCTCCAGAATTGAACCTGAGTAGATAAACATGGAAATTCTTTTAATACTCTACACATTTTAAAATCATAGTGATAATTTATTTCCAATTTTTTTCTACCATGTTTTCAGAGTTAAAATAGGGTATTTTTTTCTAAAGGTTAAATTGTATTGTTTAATGGTTTTTTTGTAGGGGCGGGTTGCATTTGCTATTGGAGAACATCAGTTGCTCAAAAAGCATCAGGTATCTAGCTAGAGCCTTATAAGTCAAGTCAAGTCAAGTATTTTTATTACGGTCATTTACCAGTGTGTTCTGGGTGGACATTTATCTGTCAGAAATAAATACAGTGGTACCTTAGGTTAAGTACTTAATTTGTTCTGGAGGTCCGTACTTAACCTGAAACTGTTCTTAACCTAAAGCACCACTTTAGCTAATGGGGCCTCCTGTTGCTGCCGCACAGCAGCTGTTCTCATCCTGAAACAAAGTTCTTAACCTGAAGCACTATTTCTGGATTAGCTGAGTCTGTAACCTGAAGCGTATGTAACCTGAAGCGTATGTAACCCGAGGTACCACTAATAATAATAAAAAAATAATAATAAGAATAATTTATTATTTATACCCCACCCATCTGGCCGAGTTTCCCCAGCCACTCTGGGTGGCTCCCAATCGAGTGTTAAAAACAATACAGCATTAAATATTTAAAACTTCCCTAAACAGGGCTGCCTTCAGATGTCTTTTAAAGATAAGATAGTTGCTTATCCTTCTGGCCTAGGAGTGTTTTTATTAATAATTATAACCCCATTATCTCTCTCTCTCCCCCCCCTTCTCATTATTTTTTAAAATTTTATATTATGCCATCAACATAAAAAGTAACAGTTGTCAACAACCAATTTGTTGAGGTAACATAAGTCCTGGGTCTTATAAGAAAACTCCACCTTAAAACTAAGTTGAGAACTAGTCCTGAATTAGCTTTCTGTACCTTTCTTCATTCTTCTTCCTCTCCTCTTAGGTGAAGGTTGGCTAAACCAAATAATTGCTGTTCTCTTTACAGATAAGAAAGTGAGGTTAACACCAGTTGAAGTGCCTGGTATGTCACAAGGAGGTGGCAGACTTCACTTTGAGCAATTCCCTTGATTGATTACAATGATATGATCCGTTCAAAATTTTCATTAAGAGCTTAATCTTGCCCTGTGCAATGCTTTCCATTCCACACCTTTTGTACTGTGGTGATCTAGTCCATTATATCTGAATTGCCTTAATCTGTGGAAATCCAGGTTTAAAAAACTGGCAGGTTGAGAAGGGATGGAATGTGAAAAGCCCAGAAGCCTTGTAAAGTACAGTGGTACCTTGGGTTACAAACACTTTGGGTTACAGACTCCGTTAACCGGGAAGTAGTATCTTGGGTTAAGAACTTTACCTCAGGATGAGAACAGAAATCACACACTGGCGGCAGAGGGAGGCCCCATTAGCTAAAGTGGTACCTCAGGTTAAGAACGGACCTCCAGAACGAATACCACTGTACTCTTTTAAGTGACTGAGAATGATAATGGACTAACATTTTTTTTAAAAGAAGAAGCCTTTCTCTTGGGAATTATACCCAAACAGTATAGAAATTTATTTATGTATGCAACTACAGCTGCAAGAATGTTATTTGCCCAAAAATGGAAAGAAAAGGACAAGAAATGAAAAGATACATAAACTTATGGATTATGCAGAAATGGCAAAAGTTACTGGAAGAATAAGAAATCAAGATAAAAAACTTTTTATTTTTTAAAAATGGAAATGGTTTATTGAATATTTACAAACAAATTTTAAACAGATAAAGACATTGGCATGATTACTGTAATAAGCTGCAGTTTCAAAAGAATATATAATCAACATAGATGAATAAACAAATAAGTTAATTTACACAGGAAACGATAAAATTTAAGGAACCACAGAAAGGGGAGGAAGGAATTTGAGGTTTGAAATGTTAGAACTATTGTTAAACTATAATTTATAAACTATAAATGAAAACTATAAATAAAATTATAAAAAACAGAATGATCATAGGCATCAATTATTTTTTTAAAAAACCATTAGATCATTTTTATGCATATACTTTTGAGGTAGTATTGAGTGATCGTGACTACCTTGTGGGAGCAAATTTTGTAGTTCGCTTTACACTGTGTGGGGAAATCCTTTATTGTCTGCCCTAAATCTTCCAACATCATGAGTCACTGGATATCACTGAGTTTTACTTTGTGTGTGAGAGAGATAAACTTTTCTGTCTGCTTTCACCACATAATTTTATACACCCTTCTTGCTCACCTTTTCCGTAACAGAAAAATCTCCAGGTGTTGCCATTTTCCTCACAATAGAATTGCTTTGATAATTTAGGTTGCCCTTTTCTCAACATTTCCCAGCTTTACAGTACCTTTTTTGTGGTAGGATGATGAGGGCCACATTCACACCGTACATTTAAAGCACACTGATGCCACTTTAAACAGCCATTGCTTCCCCCAAAGAATTATGGGAATAATATTTTGTTAAGGCTCCTGAAAGTAGTTTGGAGGCCCCTTTCCCCCTCTCAGAACTACAATTTCCAGAGTTCCTTGTGAAGAGAACCACTCTGAAAACAGCAGCTCTGTGAGGGGAAAAGGGGCCCTGAACAAACCACATTTACCAGAATTCTCTGGGGGATGTCTGAAGTAGTATTATGATGCTTTAAATGTGTACTGTGAATGTGGTCTACAGCTGTACACAATATTCCAAGTGTGGTCACACCTTGGATATTACTGAAGTTATATATTATTATTGTTGATGTTGTTACCTCACATCCTGACTTGGGTACTTTATTCACCAATCTACTGTATCCTTACTGGATGAAGTAGCTGTGTTTACATAACTTTTTCTACGTCGAAAAAAATTCTGTGTTCATTTTTTCTGCCTGTATTTCTCTTCTGTTTTTATCCGTCTCTCTTCGTACATCCCCTTCCCCCCTTCCCTATTGATTTTCCACATACTTTCATCTTTTTTCCTTCTCGGTGTCCAACGCTGGTCTTTCTTTCACACTCTGTCTTTTCTGTCATTGTGTCTCTGGTGGTTGTAAATTATTGGTTGCATTTTTTTCAATTTCAGTTGCCATACGTAGTCCCAAAGGCCTAATCTTTCTCTGACATTTCCTATCATCATTTTTCTTCGTATGCATGTTTGGGCATATACAGTCCAGAAATATGTACAGTGGTACCTCGCAAGACGAATGCCTCGCAAGACAAAAAACTCGCTAGACGAAAGGTTTTTCCGTTTTCGATTTGCCTCGCAAGACGAATTTCCCCTATGGGCTTGCTTCGCAAGACGAAAACGTCTCGCGACTTTGTTTTCTTTGTCTAAAAACAAAGACATGTTTTGTTTATAAAGTTAATTTATTTTCCCTTCAATTTTTGAACTGCTCTTTACAGTATGTGTACAGTATGTGTAACAGTTAATAAACTGTTGTTGTACCAAATTTGGCTTTGTTTGGACTTTTTTTGACCATAGGAACGCATTAATTGATTTTCAATGCATTCCTATGGGATTTCGTGCTTCGCAAGACGAAAAATTCGCTAGACGACAAAAATTGCAGAACGAATTAATTTCGTCTTGCGGGGCACCACGGTACAGCTAAGCCATTCACTTCAGTGGACTTATTCACAATTACAGTACTCTTGTGTTTGCCCTCGCACTTGCAGGCTGTGTTCAGTTTTTACTTGCTGTACCCGTTTTTCCCGTTGTGCCACACTGGAACTCACTGCTGTCTCTTTCTCTCTGCTTGCAGTATATCCACTTGCAAGGAGTGATATATCCAGCTTCAAGAGGTCCACAACCTATTTTTAGTGCCAATTCTCAGTTCTGGAACAGGTGAAATAATAATGAGAAAGCACCTTTGATGTGTATATGAGGATACTGCATTTCCTCATTGGCATTGCTGAGTAACCCTCTTCCATACATCTGGGACTGTAGGAAGAGCTTTCAAGATCTCACTTCTAAAAATTAACTATTACCGCTAAACGTTTTGAATATACACATGCTTTAAAAACAATGTGGAATGCTCTCCAGCAATTGCATGTGTTAAATTCTCCACAAATTTGCCCACTTCTGAGCAAACACTCTTGACTGATCACAAGCCAGCAAATGGCTGCTATTGTTTTCTTTTGCATGCTTCTGGTAACCGGTCCTCAATATTAAATAGGCAAATCGTGTACTTTTTCCTTATTGTCTTTGCCCACTTGGGCAATGAGTCATGAAGCTGTTACTCACTTGAATCTGCTCTGCATTTTATAATTTTGAAGGGAAACTGTTTCTCGTGTTTATCCTTTGATAGGCATTCTGATGACTGTAAAGCAAAACATTTTGCATGGTAGTACAAAGATGCTTTTATATATCTGTAAACCTTTGCACTGTGTTTCATGTATATACACATATTGACTCAAACTGCTTTGGGATGCTGCTGTGCATTCTGGCAGGGGGAAAAAGGGTAGTTCTGCACTATATCCATCAAACACCTGCTTTTTCTTCTTTCCTCCCATCTCCACAGTGCACACTCCTGTTCTGTTTATCCCATAGGTCTCTGGAGTCTCAGTTCTCATCATAACCACTATGCACATGTACAATAACTTAAGCATAGTTATGGGTGTGCAGACTTTAGATCTGTTAAATAAATAAATAAATAAATAAATAAATAAATAAATAAATAATTTATTTGTACGCCACCCACCTGGTTGGATTCCCCCAGCCATTCTGGGTGGCTTCAAGAATATACAAAACATTCAACACTTGTGTTTTACTAGAACCTCAAAATCTCCAACCAGAGCCAGGTACAAAAGACACACAGAGCTAAAGTTCTGTGTATAGGAAGTTCCTTCTGTCAGGGACCAGAATCCTCTTCAGGTGATGAAGCAGAAGACTTCAAAACAGAAGGACATGAAGGGCTCACTTCAGAAGTAGGGCTAGCCAAAGACATTTCAGCACCTGAGGAGAGCTACAAAATGGCACCTTCACCAGAAAAGAAGGGGTGAGTGAAGATCAACATCAAGAACAAGAATGTATCCATCAGCCAAACAGGGAAGCTGCTTTTGGTGATTCCTCCTTCACCCTGCAGCACTTCATGGACTCAGCTACATTGGTAAAGAAACAGTGTTTTGAACCTGCTATAAACATGCAACACCAGATGGCGCCAGAGAGCAGGGATTTTTAAAACATGATTTTTCATAGAGATTTTTTTCTTTTCTTATAACAATCTAATTCCTGACTTATTTATAGCATCCCCCCCCCATGTTTGGATCCACAGATCTATGCTGGATGGTTCCCCAACTCCCTGGAGCAAATTTAATGGGAGTGTGAGGCTGCAGTGAAAGGGGGGGGGAATTGCTGAAAACAGCTGAGCATCACCATTAAACACAACCCAAGGGAAACAACAGAGTATGGAATGATTTCAGTTGCATATAATGCAGTTTTGTAGTGGATTGGGAGTAGGGGATTGTGGCAAAAAGAGGGGGGACTCTCATAGAAAGAATGATGACTTTTTCAACTCTCACCTTCCCTTGGTGAGTGATGTTGATGTGCTCGACTGCTTACTGCACAGCTGTTCATTTCAAAAGATTCCATGTGTTAACTGGATTGGTATGGATTTTATGTTATATTAATTTTTGCTATATCGCAAAACTGTCTTGAAGACTTGGCTTAGGGCAGAATGAGAGAGCGATGTGTTAAATTAAAATAAACATATTTTCAGGGATGCGGAAGTTTGGTTTGGTCCCCATATACCTTAGTGACTCTCCCCGTATCCTACTCTGAATTCTGTGTACTAGAGCCAAGAGCAGCTTCTGAATATTATCCTGTGTGGCAGACGTACTGGGCACTCAAGAAGCATTCCGGGTGCCTGCTTACCCCTGAAATTATGTAAGATATTTTTATTTGGCTGCATAGTCAGAGACTGGGGACAGATGTGTTTATTTTAGTCTATTTCTCATATATGCTGTTTTTAGAACTTGTTTCAGAATTTGACTTAAATGCCTTGGTGGTTTCAGCTGATTTATGGAATGAATTTGCTAAACCCTTTTACCTAATAATAGATTCTCTGCTGTTTCATGCAGCCCTCCATTAGTTGCCTATGCAATGTTCTAGTGTGGGGATACTGGTTAGACAGGCTATGTTGGGGTGGTGCAAATATGACTGGATCTCCTGGGTGGGATGAACTAACTGCTTCTCCCCAGCTCCCAGCCAACCTCGCAAGTCCACAGGCTAAAAGCCCAAGGCAGCCTCTCTCCTTTATGTTCCAAACCACAAGCGCTTGAGTGAGACAGGTGCAGAGAAGGTGGGCCTTATATGGCCAAGAGCATAGAGGGAGCCTGTCACTGGCATGAAGATGGGACTCAAAGTGTAAGACTCCGTGGAACCACAGAGCAAAGTGTACAGCTGAGTGAAAGGAGATACCCCAGCTTCATCCTTAGAGAGAGCTGTCCCTGTCAGAGCCTCTAGCTCATTAACGACGTGTTAATCATCGTTCAGCAGCAGAGATTCAAAAAATGAATCACCACTGCTTATCATTTAAACCCAGGATATTAACGTCCAGCAACTTTCTGATCATTCCTTGGGGTGAATTTTGACAACTCTATTTCTGCTGTTTTAGTGCAGATGTTGCAAATGCTTGAGTGTGGCAGGGCTGGGAATGAGGTGAGAAGGCAAGGGAAGTAGTATTAAAGTGTGGGTGGCAGGCTAAACCAAAGCATTCCATGTTTGTACTGTCTAACAAGCTAAGAGATGGATTGCGGAGTATGCTTTTGTGGACCAGAGACTACTTTGACAGATGGGCCCCACGACCAGGAGAGCTTATGCTACAATATATTGCTTTAGGCTGCAATCCTATGCATACTTCCCTGGGAATGAATCCCATCAAAGTCAACAGGGCTGATACCTGGGTATACAGGACTGCATTGTTAGTTTTTCAACTGCCATGAGACTCTCTTTTTTTAGCTGCATAGCTAACCTGCTAGAACACTACTGGCAAATAGACATATTTTAATTTTTTAATCAATCTGATCCAGTTTCTACCCAGTGCTTTCCTTTACATTGTCAAGAGTAAAAGAAGATGATACTGGGAAGTGGGGAGGACGGGAAATTTCTCTATCAATTATCATTTGTGGGTAGCATTCTGTGTCTGCAGTAATTTCCACTGACAAAGTACAGAAAGAGCATGGGGGCTGCAGTTCATGGTAGGGATGGTGCACCGTAGCCATTCATTTTAGTGAAGCTTGCACAGGAGAAGTCCCTGGTGGATTGTGCCCTTTGTGTTTTTACAGGTTTATCATGTGTTGCATAATACAAGTGCTCTAGTGATCCTGGCTAAAAAGAAAGAGTGTCCTGAAATAGACCTGTATCACTTTCAGACTGACCTTTTCATGCCACAGTTAAGAGCTCTCTCGCTAAGCTACCTCTCTGATCAAATCTCACTGGGCAACAGTTTTGCTGGTCTAATCTTTCTATGGTTGTTTAATATACAGTTTGTTACACACACACACACACACACACACAGAGAGAGAGAGAGAGAGAGAGAGAGAGAGAGAGAGAGAGAGAGAGAGTGTAACAGACTGGCAATCTTAGATACCTTGATTTGGGACTAGGCCATCTTGTTTTTACTAGGATTCTTTAGAATTGTAGTTGTACTAAAAAGTTTATAAACTCTATTGCTGTTGCAGCAGACATTTCTGGGAGAATTGCTATGCCCCAAAAGTTAATCAACCGCAATCCTTTCCAGTTATTTATGTGCTGACAATATAGTGGTAACTGTTTTGACTGTACACCCCATTAGGCTCTGCCCCCTAAACTTATGCATGAGCAATGGACTTTATAAAAAGACCTCCTCACTATTGTTACTATGTTCAACTATACAGGTGTGGGGGGGACTGTCTGTGTGTTTGAGAACCCTGCTTTTCCAGAGTTCTTGAAAGCATGGAGGAGAACTCTCCATGTGTACAGTTGGGCATGCAGGGATCATACATGTGCACGAATCAGGGATGGACCATATCTCCAAAACAGAGTGCTGTATGAAAATATACTGGGTAACATACAGAGGGGGGGGGGCGCCATCCTTTTTGGGCCAGTGGTATATTTCAAATTTTGAGAGTGTTGTGGGTGCACAAACTTCCTTATGCTTACCATGGGAAATTGGCTAAGTCCTGCTGGGCCTAACTATATAGATCACACAATTGATTTTACACATATACACACACGTTCTGGACCCAACAGTCAGACTCCTCTGCTAGAGTTAATAAGTCAGGAGGGACAGGTGTCAAGAGGGCATGTGGATAGATCTATTGCCACCAGCACCTTGTTAATGTCAGCTGAATGTATAAGCTGGAACTGATCCCATAACACATCATTGATTCTGGCACTAGCTACTTCAGTCCGAGCTGCAGCCACTGCAGAATCAAGATCAGTCCGAAGCTGAGTGCCTTTATCTTCAAAGCCAGTTGATCGCAATGGGCCCTCAAATGCTCAAGAGGGCCCTCCCCCACAGTGGAGCAGGACCAGTTCAAGACATTTTAGCGCCTGAGGCAAACCACAAAATGGCACCCCACCCTCCCCGCCAGGGAAGGGGTGAGTGAAGATCTACATCAGGAACTAGGGGGAAGTAAATATATTTATTGGGTTTTTCTGCCTCTGTAGATCCTGCTGTCTGAAGTGGCCACCTTACTTTGCCTCAGGGTTAGGCCTTCTGGCGGTTCCCTCACTGGGAGAAGTGAGGTTACACGGAATGAGGCAGAGGGCCTTCTCACTGGTGGCACTCACCCTGTGGAACACCCTCCCATCAGATGTCAAGGAAATAAACAACTATCTGACTTTTAGAAGACATCTGAAGGCAGCCCTGTTTAGGGAAGTTTTAAATGTTTTATTTTGTTTTTAATCTGTTGGGAGCCACCTAGAGTAGCTGGGGAAACCCAACCAAATAGGTGGGGTATAAATAATAAATTATTATTATTATAAGGGACTCAGCAATATAGCTGCAAATAAAACATTTTAAGTGTTGTAAAGTGTAATATACAAATATGACACTTGATGGCGAAAGTGAGCTATGGAAAATTCAATGTATTTTTTTCAAAACACTTTTTTTAAAAAAGCATCTTCACAGTTTTTTTTATATGTGTGTAGATTCCACCAAGATGTCAGGGCATCGGGATTACATCTAAACAGGATATTTGATAGCCTTGTTTGCCACTTGACAATATTTGACAGGTTTAATTTTGTTTACTTTTTTAAAAAAAGTATCATAGTAATACTTGTTTTGGGGGTTTGTTACTTTTCCATTTGCTTTCTAATGGGCCAACCGGCAATTGTTTTTGAAGGCTAAATGGCTACTTGAAGTCTGCACTTTTTGAATACGGATGTCTTGGCTGATCTATGTAAGTCATATTCATGGCACTAATTTTAAGAAAACTGAGCTTAGAATAATTAGAATAATTGTACATAATACTAAATCAATATTTATGCATCACAAAGAAAAATAAAGCTTTTACCAAGCAGTACTGCATTATTCAGGAATTTCTTAAGATACCTTTTCCCCATTAATTTCTCTCTCACCCCCCTCCCTGTGCTTCATACACAGATGCCAACATAATATAAATCAAGATGTCATTCCTTCAAAAGACCAAGAAGCAACATTTTGTTATTCCAAAATTAATCTCTTTCCCTGGGAACTCTCCTGAACATGGCAGTGTTTTTATTTCCATTTTCTTTTCGTGTAGCTGCCTGTCAGAATGTTAGTGTACATTTCCATTTGCAGTCTTAAGTTTTGGCATGCTTCTCTTTGCCTGTTGCCCATTTCCAAACCTTATTTGTACTGACTATTTTCTCTCATGCTCTTTTCTCATAAAGATGCATTTGTGATGTTCCCTAACAATGAAAAATAGTTGCACATGATGTAAGGCCTTGTGGTGGGACAACATGTGTCTGTTGACCTTAGCCTAGCACCTTCTGTGCACAAGCAGCTTTTGTATTATGGGAATGTTGTGTGCAATCACATGTTAAGTGAATTGCAGCCCTCTCGCTTGCACTTTGCCAGGGATGATGGGGAACCTGCAGCTTTAGAAATGTTGGTTTCTAACTCCCATCATTTCTTACTATTGGACGTGGGTGCTGGGCTTGATGGGAACTGGAGCCCAACAATGTCTGGCAGGGCACAGGTTCTCATGTGTATTCTGTGAGACTGCCCAAACCTAATCACTGGTTTATAAAGATAACGGTAAAGGGACCCCTGACCATTAGGTCCAGTTGTGACCGACTCTGGGGTTGCGTCGCTCATCTTGCTTTATTGGCCGAGGGAGCCGGCGTTCAGCTTCCGGGTCATGTGGTCAGCATGACTAAGCCGCTTCTGGCGAACCAGAGCAGCGCACAGAAATGCCATTTACCTTCCCACTGGAGTGGTACCTATTTATCTACTTGCACTTTGACATGCTTTTGAACTGCTAGGTTGGCAGGAGCTGGGACAGAGCAACGGGAGCTCACCCCGTTGTGGGGATTCGAACCGCCAACCTTCTGATCGGCAAGCCCTAGGCTCTGTGGTTTAACCCACAGCGCCACCCGCGTCCCAATCACCGGTTTATAGTAGCAAGTAATTTACCAAAGCAAAGAGTAAAGGCAGGTTCACATCTGCATCTGCATTACAAGGATTCTATTCACCGGGTTATTCAACACTGGATGACTCATAGCTGAATAGAAGAACAGTCTCCATGGAAAAGCACAGTGTCTGTTTTTTATTTGTCATTGGTCACTCTCTCAGCCATGTCACTGCTTGCAGTTATCAAATGATTAACTTGCACATGGGAACCAGTTGTGTGTAGTGCGGGAAGCTGCAATGGCATTCCCACAATGTACAGAGGGATATGACTTTTCCAAACTGTAATTGCTGAAGACTGAGCCTCTTTAGCCCTGCCTCCATTTCCTTTGCCCTTTTCTGTTTTCCCTATGTGGAATTTTAGAGTGTAAGCTCCTTGGGGCAAAGACTTGTCCTCTTGTACACTGTAAAGCAGGGATTGGCAACACACTTGATAAACTTGATAAACACAGAGAAGGCTTTTTGATTCTTCCCCCATCACCAGCCCATTAGCATTTCTTCTTCTTCTTCCATTGTGCTTCACAGGGTGGGCGGCAGCCTTTTCCAACCCAAGGGTTGCATTACTTCACAGAGAACCTTCCTCAGCCCAATTCCAGGGGTGGACAGGGTCAAAGTCAAGAGTGGTCAGCACAATGGATGTCCCTACATCCCAGCTACCCAAAAGCCTGAGACATTTTCACTCACCCCCCACCCCCATTATTTCATTTTCCATCAAAGAAAGCAAAAGACATGATCATTCCAGTTGGAGATAGCGCCTGAGGAGGGCACAGAGCAGGGCTGCTGAGAGGTGTGACCTGGGAAGTGGGCACAACAAAGGAAAGTCCTAAGAGTGGAATAGAGAGTCCCGGAAGGCTGCATTTGCCCCTGGGCTTGAGGTTCCCCACCCCTGCTTTACAGCTTATAAGAGGGCAAGTCTCTGTCCCAAGGAGCTTACATTTTAAATTCCACAGAGGGAAAGCAGAAAAGGAGGAGGAGGAGGAGGAGGAGGAGGAGGAGGAGGAGGAGAAGAAGAAGAAGAAGAAGAAGAAGAAGAAGAAAAAGAAGAAGAAGAAGAAAAAGAAGAAGAAGAGGAGGAGGAGGAGGAGGAGGAGGAGTTTGGATTTGATATCCCGCTTTATCACTACCCGAAGGAGTCTCAAAGCGGCTAACAATCTCCTTTCCCTTCCTCCCCCACAACAAACACTCTGTGAGGTGAGTGGGGCTGAGAGACTTAAAAGAAGTGTGACTGGCCCAAGGTCACCCAGCAGCTGCATGCGGAGGAGTGGGGAATCAAACCCGGTTCACCAGATTACGAGTCAGGACTAAACAGGGAAGCAATTATTTCTGGTACACATGCTAAGTTATAAGCTCAGTTGCAGAAGGGCCTAGGAATAGGGATCTGTGCCAAAAACCTTGGTGTCAAGGAACAATTTAAAGCTGCTGCAACACTGACAACATAGGTATTAAGATTGTGCAGGATGGTGTTGGTGTGAATGTGAGGCACACATCAGCACACATTTTGTTCATAAATCAAGGAGATATTGCAGTGCAGCTGTTTGGAAGTCTTACTTTCTTACTTCCAGAGTCCTCTATGCAGGTGCATCTGTGGAGGGGGGGGGGAGGAGGCCTGGAAAATGTTGTCTCTAAGTTACTGGAGCATAGTTGCTATGCCATGTAAAGGGCTATGCAAAACACCTCAAAGCCAGACACTTTGGGAACAGCGTCCAAATTCCATCCTTTTGACATGAATCTTAGCTCAATGGCTTAATTATGCAACTGTAGTTTTGTGTTCCAGCCTGTTACAAAAGGAAGGAATTTTGATTGCATGGCTCAAGGGCAGGTCACAAGCCTTCCACTGTGAGTCTGAGCCTTCAGTTACTGCAAAGCAAGTGTACGAGGCCATACCACACAGAGCTAATTTTGATGAAAAAAGATGACCAGGTGAGATTTGTTTTCCAGTTTTAGGTATGTTATTCACAAGTGCTGGGTTTCATTTAACCAATAGATGTTGTAACTTTTAAACTCTGTCCTTCAGACTTTTACTTACAGTTTAATGCCAGTTCAGTGATTCTAAGCACCTTTATTTGGAAATTCTGTGGAATTTGACTTGACTTACTGTGGCACATCTGCTGAAAGAAAGAAAGAAAGAAAGAAAGAAAGAAAGAAAGTCATTTAGTTTTTGATTTACTAGCCTGCTGCTACCTCCTGAAGTATTTCCCTATGTTAGCACGTACCCTCAAGTATGCTGGAGTAACCTGGTTGTTGCTGTGGCTCCCAGGAGTGCAGCCAGACCAACTTGTAAAATTTGTTTACTTTGAAAGCAGCTGCATGGGGCCTGAAGACTGCCTCAGTGGGAGAGCTGTGAAGCTGGTTGATATTGGCAGAGCTGCCCTTTGAGGTACTTGGGCCCCAAGCCATTTACAGCTTTGTAGGCTAGTATTAACACCTCAAATTGTACTTGGGAGCTCACCGGCAGCCAGTGCAAAACTTCCAAGACTGGTGATGGCATGGTCCCATCTCACCAATCCAGCAGCTGCATTCTGTGCTAGCTGCAACCTCTTGAGTTCTGTCAGTTCTCCAGCCAACAGGAATGTTGTGTTTTGTGTCTCTTGTTCCCCCCCTAATTTAACTGTATTCAAACTGCTTTTCTTTTGTCTAAATAATATTCCTGATCATGCACTAGTATTTATATAATGTCTAAAGCAGGCATAGGAATCCTTAGGACCAGAGGCCAGATATGACCCTCTGTCAATGACCAGGAGTTGGATCCTTCATGGTTGGGTGGTATAGAAGAGGACTCTGAACCTTAAAGGGAAGAACATGCAGGACCATCCATGTCCCAAGGAGGTGGCACTGTGATCCACTGACTGTGGACTACACTGTACAAGACCCTTGGAGACCTAAGCTTCCCCTGCTCCATCGCAAGAGGTTACTAGAGAAGGTTGGGTCCCTTTAAGCCAAACGGCATCTTGCAGTACAGGTGGTGCTAATCAGGCTGTAACTGACTATCACTATGTAAGTGTTCGGTTTCAGCTTGTTCTTTGCTGGAGCAAATTTAGAGCTCTGTGTTTCGCAGCAGCAACACTGCCTTGCCCTGCCCTACATCCTGGCTGAATTTCACCTTAGACTGCAGAGGACGACATCTTCTAGGCTTCTCTTTCTGGCCCTTGGAAGTCTTCGCAGGCCATCACTGGCCACACTGTAACTCAAATATATTTGCCTGGCTGATGAGTGTCCTTGGGCTCTGACGATGCTTCATGTGGGTCTGGATGGAGAATAGAGGGCTGTGTGTAGAAACTGGCCTAGTGTATACAAAGGTAAAATTTACATACATTGCTCCACCCATTTTTGCCTCTGGCCCCACCCACTACTTATGTGTGATCGTCATAAGGTTGTCCAGAAGGGAGTGTGACCCTCAGGTTGAAAAAGCTTCCTCAAACCTGATCTAAAGCATTTCCATCAGCATCAACATGTTTTGGTATCAATGTGCTACATTTAAGTCGGCACTAAATCTCACTGTCCAAAGTTAGATTTAACTATTAGCAAGAACGCAATCCGCACAGACTTGGTGGAGTGTCGGGCCTAATGAGCACAGCAGCTCATCCCTAGTAGGTCTTGCCCCATGGATCAGTTGCTGAGACTGGAACTGTCTAAGTTCCCTCCTCTTCAGGGTTGTTTCCAAGCAATCAGAGACTGTGCCTGTGTGAACCCAACCTCTCCTCTGCTCTGTTCATGCCTCTTCTGGTTCCAGGAGACAAGGGGGGGGGGGAGGGGAACTTGTCACAACAAGAGGGAGAGACACTTGTGACTCTGCACCAGCCTGACTCATCTCTCTCTCTTGGCCTCCCTTATCCCACTCTCCTGCTTCAGCTTCTGCCTCTAATTCTGGACTTCTCTCTGACACAGACTCTCCCAGCTCACTACGTCCTGTTACTTCTTGAGCTTCCAACACGTCCTCCCCCCCCCCCAGTCTTCTTCTGACCACTCATCATTTTCGCACCACCACCAACCCAGGCTCTGAGCCTTCTTCCCTTGGGGGCTCCCCAGTTGGTTCCTCCCACCATTCCTCTGCGTCCAACCAGTCCCTGACATCTAGAAGTTTTTGATAAGCACATAGGAGCTTGCTCACTGATACGTATTTCATTATGACATCACACAGCATGATATCATGCCAGCATTTCAACAGTATAATGGTGTAGTTTAGAATGATTAAAAGTGTCATTTTCCAGATCAGTCGAGTCTAATATTCTAAGACTGAACATGTTTCTAAGAGCACTTCAAAGTGTTTTCAAATCTACAGACAGTTTTCACAGTATCCAGTGTTCAGCTGTAGGCTGGGTCAGTTTGACTTGAGATGCCATGGATATATTTTTTTTTTCTGGAAGTATTCCAGAACACTCTTAAAAATAATCTCTAGCTGGGGTATGGTGACACACTGGCCAGGATCTGAGAGGTTAGCAGGAGGCATCTAGTCTAACCTCTGCCCAAAGGCAGGCTCACCCAATACAATAGCTGCCCAGCAGGGCAACCTATGCAATTGCAGTTCAGATTAAGGTTGTCACAAGCAGGAAACTGAACAACTATTAAATAGCTTAAGGTGATTTAAGCAGGAGATCCAAGCCACATCTTGCAGAGAAAGGCAAGAAGACACCAACTCCACATCTCCCAATGTTACTAGACAATTTGCAGGGGGGAGGAGTTAGAGAAAGAATCATTTCCTGGTCCTATATAGAATATCTTGGAAAGCTATTTATAAAAAGTCACAGTACAGTCAATCTCAGTCATTTCGGAAAATCTTGATGCTCAGACATTCTTGATTGTCCCATCAGCTACTATACTGGTGGTCTTTACTTCTGACATTGAAATTCTCATTTTCATGTGACCCGAATGATAAAGTACAGCACTGTGTAACTTACTGTAATGATGCAAATGAAGAAGACTTCACTTCCTTTATTATCATTTTTCCCTGGTGCATAATTCATCAATCTGTTGAGGTACACACATTTATGGGTGTCAGAAAATGAAGTGGAAAAAGCAGGGCTGGTTCAAAGAAGCATATTCTGTGCATTTTCTCCAACCCCGAAAGTGTTGACAACTTAGAAGAAGAAAACTGGGGATGTCAGGAAAACTGTTTAGCCACGCAACTGAAAATTGCACACCCAGCACTAGCTCAGCAAATCCACTCCAGTGTTGGTCTTGCTGACCTTGACCATACCATGGGGGTTATTGATTCACACAGAGACATTTCACTTCAGTATTTCTCTAGCAAGCAAGAGATGGCAAGGCTAATGTGCAAAAGGAGAATTCCTTTTCTGTCAGAGGTGCCATTTCAGATTTCCAGGAGGGGCAAAGTGACCCATTCTCAGATAAACTCCAAGAGTGCAAGCCTATGTGCGTTTAAACTGAATTTAATTGGGTTTACTTCTGAGTAGCAGGCCTGGCCCATAATGATGCACTCATTTGGGAATTAGTCCCATTGGCTTTTAAGTGGGATTTACTTCGGAACAGGAGTTGACTGTAGATTGCATAATAATAAACAAATAAATAACAATGCAGTGTGTTTTATAAGCATCTGCTATGGCTACTCTTTATACTTCCTAATACAGTTGTACCTTGGTTTTCAAACAGCTTAGTTCTCGGTTTGGCTCCCAAACGCTGCAAACCCGGAAGTGACTGTTCCGGTTTGCAAACTATTTTTGGAAGCCGAATGTCTTATGGGGCTTCCGTGGCTTCTGGTTGGCTGCAGGAGCTTCCTGCAGCCAATCAGAAGCCGTGCTTTGGTTTCCGAACTTTTTGGAAGTCAAATGGACTTCCAGAACAGATTCTGTTCGACTTCCAAGGTACGACTGCAACTCTTGTATTATTGTAAGCACAGGACATATATTTACTGCTTTTACAGGGGATAAACGCTTTTGTGTTCAACACCTAGAGCACATAACTCAATTTAATAGATTATTGTTATAAGCCTTATAACAACTATCATTAAGTAGAAACATAAGTGATATGGGATGGAGGGGGGCATTGTCTGTCCCCTGCTTTCTGTGACTAATATTTGGGTTTGCTCATATGTTGTGAGGCAGGATAGCACTACCAGGGGTTACCATGGACACATGTAGAAAAATGTGGTACCAATACTCAGTTTATAACCATGCTGGAGTGGATTAGCATGCATCTGTAGCAAGAAAAAACCTGCCATTTTAGGCACATGGTGCCATGCCCATTTACAAAGACACATTTGTTGTGTTTTTGTAGTAAATCAAAGTTCTTCATGGTATAGGAGCTGGGAAGATTCAGGTAGAAATTGTGTTTCTAACTCTAGTATGACAATGGCTGCAATCCTTCAGCCCCTAACTTGGAAGTAAGCCACATAGAGCCCATTGAGGCTTACCTCTGATGGACATGCATGTGATTGCACTGCAAGGCTTCAATCCTATAAAAATGTTCTTGGGGGAAGGTGTACTGAGCATAGTGGAATTTAGCTTTGAATAAACACCCACAGGCTTCTTATAACATTTTATTTTAGAGTGAGGGCTGAGATTAGTTTCCTCCTGTTTTAATATTCTGGGCATTGACCTTGGCCTGTGCTCTTGGCAATCAGTTTGTTACAGTTTAATTTAGACAGGGGAAAATAGGATTGTATTAGCAGTAATGGGGAAGGGTAGGGAAGAATGACAACCATAAGAGTGTCAGCAAAAATGGGATGCATTGTGTTGTAAATGGAGGCTTTCGAGGCTTGAAGCTCTCAAATGAATTTGCTCCGACAGCTATTCCATTTGACAGCATGCACAGTGCAACCACCCACCCACCCACACACACACAGGCAACATTTCACTTCACTGCTGTATTCATAGATAAGAATGATCTACTTATGCGTTCAGTTCTGATGGCATCTTAGATGAAATACAGTCTAGTGTTTTAAATGTATAGACAAGGATTGGGTCCCCCCTAGATGTCAAGACTGACACTGAACTTATTCAGAAGTGTGGCTCTTTCCGTTGTTCTTAATAATACACAAAATGATTCACCATTAGAAATTGTACTGTTTTGTGGTTTTGGAATGGTCTTTTGATAGCAGTTTATTGTGGGCTTTGTGCTGGTTTCAGCAACTTTTAAATTAACAGAAGTATTGTTGGTTTAGTTGGTTTTAACATACTGTTATATTTTGTATGTATCTTTTTGCAAAACACTTTGGGAAGGTTTCTGGGTTTTTTTACTGCTAAATAAAACTAATCTATATAAATAGATAAATATAAAGCATTGAGACTTTATCAGAATTAGACAAAATGCACTCCCTCCATGCTCCTATTGAAAACATTCTAAGAGCTTGTGGGGTGTTATAATGGATTGGATGAAGTGATTTTTTTTTTAATATAGTGGACAGATGAAGATTTGGAAGTTCTTTACTTTCTGACTCTTATTTTTCTATCTTTCTCTTTAACCTCTTTTCTGTTCTTTATATTTCTTTCTTTCCCCCTTCTTTATTCCCACCTTCTGTGTTTTTACTGTATCTATCGAAAAGTCTTGGTTTGGTTAAAAAAATGGGAAAATATATCAAGTTTTGTATATATATTTTTCTAGAACCCTTAATAAATTTTTTTTTAAAGGAAACATTTTAAGAGCTTAGATAGCTGCCACTCATTTGTATAGTACACATAAAGTAGTTAGTGGCTGTATAACAGCTGCTGCTTTTTGTGATGCTCTTCATGTGGTTTGAATGTAGTAGTTCATGTTATACAGTTATGTAGATGTTCCTTGGATTTTAAAATTATTGCATTTCCACCCCAACTTTCCTCCAGGGAGCTTAAGGTGGCATACACTGTTCTCCCCTCTCTCCATTTTGCCGTTACAACAACCGTGTAAGATAGGTTAGGCTAAGAGGCAGTGACTGGCCCAGTGAGCTTCATGGCTGAGAAGGGATTGAAATTCTGGTCTCCAAGGTCCTAGGAGAACACTCGTCTAAACCATTACAGCATCACTGGATACCTTGAGTAGGATCAAATTAAAGAAGTTAAGACTTTATTCTAAGGCCACTAACTTATTTTTGCTCCTGAGTTCTGGCACCCTCTAGCTTTGGACCTGGCCACCTTTGCCCCCCAGTCTCTTTGCCCAGCCACCATTTTGTTTTCAAATTAACAACATGCAATACAGCGGGCTTTTTAGAGCTAAAGTGCTGCAGTATAGGGGTGTGTGTGGGTGTGTGTAAAAGGCACAGAGAGATTGAACATTTGGTCCCTTGTTGAGAGACTACTGTTTTTAAGCTCCTCGCTGTCCAAAATATTGTATCTCGTTTCTGAAAAGGGCACCGCGCAAAGGCTTATGCAAACTGACCACATCAGATTCTGGGGCAGAAGGGGTATTTTATCAGTTTCTCCCAGCCATTGGGACCACATTTGCTGGGGATGATGGTGGTTGTAGTCTAAAAGAAAGAAAGAAAGATTGCACCTGCTAGGGGAAGGTTGAGGGAAAGAAATCCCTCTCAACAAACTTCATCTGTGGATTATATTTGTGTTGCTACAGTTCTTAAGTATTAGCCCTTCTTCTGGTGAAATTAATGCCAAACTTCCATTCAGTATGACTCTGAACATGAAATTTATTTGGCCTGAAGAATTTACTGCTTGTAAAATCGTACCTTAGAAGTCGAACAAAATCTGTTCTGGAAGTCCATTCAACTTCCAAAACATTTGGAAACCAAAGCGCGGCTTCTGATTGGCTGCAGAAAGCTCCTGCAGCAAAGCCGCAGAAGCCGTGCTGGACATTCGGCTTCCGAAAATTGTTCGAAAACCGGAATGCTCACTTCCGGGTTTCAATCATTCTGGAGCAAAGGCGTTTGAGATCCAAGGTACGAATGTATTCATAAAATCCTCAGGTTTGTTTGATATTTGTGTGTGTGTGTGTGTGTGTGTGTGTGTGTGTGTGTGTACGCTAGCATGCTTAAATTCTGTGCAAAGTTAAGGTTGCCATCTAGTGGTTCTAGATTAGAACAGTGGGCTGCATATTCCTTTGTACCAAGAGCTCAAGGGACAACAATGAGATGAGATGAAATGAAATACAACGCAACAGAGGTGCTTACCTCTGCAGACCCAGAGTTAGTGGGTTCCAGACTGAATACAGATTGAGTTTGCTTTCCCTGTCAATACAGGCTTCTTTATTCCTGAGCTTCAACATTTGTTTGGAGCATAGATCATGCTCTCAAGGCTGCTTCTGTGCATGGGGCTTTTTATATCTGCTCCAGAGGATCTGCACAATTTAGCCTAAAATAAACATGTTTCTATGCATTTTATCCTAAAGTGGGCATTTTATATGCATTTTAATCTAAAACACACATTCTTGCACACATTTTTTGTTATTTTGAGACAAACACTGTATCGCAATACTTGGGAGAATTGTGAAATGTGTATGGGAAGTGCAAATCAGGTCACTTTGCTTAAAAATACAGGCAGAAATAAATCCTTGAGCACAGTAGTGCACAAGTAGAGTTGTGGCACTTGTACTGTCAATGAGCCTTTAGGCCAATATAGATGTTTACATTCTCCTTTCAAGCCTGATTGAAGCAGGAGCCTCTTTAAGCATGTTGTGAAAGTGCCATTAATTCTCCTGTTACCATTTCTCTTTCTCCCTCTGTGAGGGAAAGGCTGGGGTGCATAGTCAGTGAGAAATTAGGTGCACATCTGAAGGCCCTGTGCTTATACTGAATTCCTAGAAATCTATTTGTGGTATGTTTTCTCACTGGCTGCACAGAAGCTCATTAGAGTAGATACAATGGTTGTCAGTTTGATTCTATGCAATACCATCAACAGTACATATTTGTTTTTTCTTAAGTTATTCTTGGGGGGGGGGGTGTTGTTGGTAGCTATGCTGGTAGTCTGGCCTCCATTTTGCATTTACCACAATGCCCCTGACTACTATTGTTAGCATCCATCCCAAGATATAATGAAAAAGTGTATCTTCAGGGGTGAAGTCAAACTGTTGTAGAGTTACAGCGTCTGCTGTGGCTGTAGAGACTGATACGGGAGAGACATGTTTTGTTACAGCCGAGGCAGAGGAAGGTGTCCAGTTGTGTGTTTCTTCTTTCTGCACATTCCTCCTCTGGTCGCTGCTGTAGATACACAACTCAACTGTCTGCCTGCAGGGGTTTCTCATACGGAGAGGTTAATGTTGCCCTACTATCATTGCAGGGTATTGGGGGGGGGACAGGTAGGAGGGAGGAAATAGTTCCTTGCACAAAAAAAGTGGCAGATATTTAGAGAATATCATTGTGCAGAACTGCCTTTTTTGAGGGAGGGGCAGAGACAAAACAAAACTGCTCAGGAAAAGCTCTCCTGAGAAATTTCAGTTAAGCTCTTAAGCAGACATAAACAAGTTTGTACTTGCACAGTAATTGATTGCCGTTATTTCCAGCCATGTAAACATTATGTAGACACATAGCACTGTTTGCAAACCACTAGGTGGAGGTATTGCACAGGATTTCAGACATCATCCACAAGCAACTACATATGTATATTTACCTACATCCTATCTACCCCATTTTCTGGTACTCATTCCTGCAAATCTCTTTTCTGTTCTCTCTTTCTCTCCCCCCATTTTCAGCAGATTTGGGAGACACCTTTTAATATTTGTTTTCTTTTGTACACTTTTCTTACCACAATCAAAAGAATGACACTGACACCACATTAGAATCAGACATATTGGCAAACAGGGCTTTTTTCTCCTCTAGAAGAAAAGGTATCAGAACTCACAGCCAACAGACTTTTGTACGAGTAGTACAGGGGATTTCTCATTTATGCAGGAGTTACTGTAAAGCCCATTGCTTTTATTGTAAAACTTAAGGCGACAGAAATAGTGGCTAATCCATTTATGCAATAGCACATCTTTCCTCCTCTGCCAAGATGGTTGTGAGAAAAGGTGGGCACTTGCTTGCATAGAAAACCTATCCCCCCCCCAAGTAGGGGAATGGGAATGAGGAGAAAGAATTCTGGAGCTATCCTGTACAACTTTCTTTGCACGTACTTTTGGAGCGTTGCACTTGTGTTTGGAGCATTCATCGCAGTACTCAACTAAGTTCTTCTCAGAGAAAACCTTTTGAAATTAATGAACCTAAATCAATCATGTCTATTTACTTCAATGGGTCTGCTATGGGTAGGATTGCATACCACACACTTATGCCAGAATACATGTGTGAGGTGAGGAAAAACTGGTAAGGTGGAAGAGAAGAGGTAATTCTGGAGGTTTCTGTTGAAATGAGTGGTGTGTGTGTGTGTGTGTGTGTTGCTCAATGTTTCCGTTGTTCTCCTGTACTCTTTGCACAATATCCCATTTTCTCCGAAAGAGATGTTTTTTAGCAATATCATCACATTGGCACCACCATAGTAGTGAAGTAAGACTTGCATCCTAAGTGTGTGTATTCCTAAGTTTTCCATTTACTTTGGAGGAGATGTTGTTAACCAATGTTATCACTAGCATCATTATAGCAGTACTAGGCTTAGGACTTGCAGCCTGTGTGTGTTGCTGGATGCTTTTGTTATCTCATTCATTATTATTCTGATCACAACACACTATGGGCGGCCTATTGAAATTAATAGTTCTAACTCAGTCATGGTTATTAAAAGCGGGTCTACTCTGAGCAAAATTCATTTGAATACCAAAGTGTGTGCAGACTTTTTGGGGGGAGGGGGGCATCTCATAGCTTACCATCATAGCACATAGTGTCACGGTCTGGTTCACGGGCGATCAAAGTCCCAGCTGGGGACATCGGGACTGGGGAAAAGATGGCGCGGTGGAAGCAGGAGCAGGAGTCCAGAAGCCAGGAGTCAGGAAGCCAAGGGTCAGGAAGCAAGGAGTTATGAAGTCAGGGGTCCGAGGATCAAGAAGCAAGGAGTCAAGGAGCCAAATGCAGCAAGGCAGGGAAAGTGTTGCTGTGGCAAAGAGCTGAAGGGAAATGCTGACCTTATTCCTGGCTCTTGCCGCCAGGTGCTGTGAGTTACCAATCAGCCTCACCTGTGCGGCTGTGCCTTGCCTCTTCAGAACAAACTTAGGAAGGCCCCAGTCCCGCAAAGTCCTACTGGTCACAGGGCCTGGCTCCCACACACACTCCTGACACATAGTTTAGTAAGGTACTAAGTATTTGTAACAATGCAGTTCTTTAATTTTCACAGTATCTTTGCAAAATAGGGAGAAAACTAGTACACCTTAGCCATGCTCAGTGGCCCCATTGGCAATGCCCTCATGACCTCAACCAGGTCTAGCGGGCACTGCTGATCTCTTCTAATAATATCATTGCAACATGGCCATGGAGGACCCTTCAGCAGTTGAGGACAACTTCTCAACATGAAAGGAAAAACTAGAGGGTTGTATACCGTAATTTGAGAGCCTTCCTCAAAGATATCTCATAGAATCATAGAGTTGGAAGGGACCCTGAGGATCATCTCTTCCAATCCCTTGCAATGCAGGGATATGCAGCCTTGAAATCTCAATTAGATGACAAGTGCCATATATGCAGAATAATTGCCCCTGCTTTCCCTCATCATGAGGTCACTTGCTAGGATAGCCACATTTCCCCCAAGCATGAGATGAATACACTCAGAAAAATGACAGTTAAATGTTGGAATTGATTATGTCGCACTTCATGTGGATCCCAGTTCATGAATACAAACTGCCCGTGTTCATCCAGCCTCAAATGGGAAGTGATCCTGATACTGCTTTAAAAAAAAGCCCACCACAAACTGGTAAACCAGACAAAAGTGGGAAGTTCTTTATGAGTGTGTAGGAAAACATTCAGACATTATTATGCATACAAAAAGATACTTCCTTATACACTTCTTTCATTTTTCTGCCTTGAGGGGCAAGGCAAGGAAACGAAAGAACTTATTCTACTTTTATTATATTATATTATATTATATTATATTATATTATATTATATTATATTATATTATATTATATTATATTATATTATATTATTAGCTTAAAATAAGTACAGGCTTTACCTTCTATTTTATATTGAACATTCATATTTTGGAATGAATTATTATTAGTAGTAATAATAGTAGTATACCACCCTATGCCCACAGTTCTCAGGGTGGTTCACAAGATAAAATCACAATATAAAAACAGAAAAAAGTACATAATACATACATTATATACTCACCCCTGTTACAATTTTGGTCCCAATCAAACTAGCTGTAGTATGTTGTCTCTTAAGGAATAATCATGGCCTAATCATCTCTATCCATTACAGGTATGTGTGGTAGATTAATCAATTACAGCTTTAGTATCAGAGTAAAATCTCTCTTCCCCCTCCAATTAGCTGGCGAAATTGAGTCAGGCTGGCCAAGAGAACGGAGAGCTGTGATCTCCTGTATTTTCTCGTTTTTTGTAATAAACAAACAAAAAAACAAGCAACAAACAACCCCCACCTTGGGTGAAGTGATTCAGTTTAGGGCTACAGAACAGTGTGGGGTGAAGGCCACAGTTATGTGGCACACATTCTAATGGGGAATTCATGGTACAAATACAATTGCATACCGTGCCTCCTAGGTTTTCCTAAGCTGTTGTGGAATCAAGGTATCCTGTCAACAACTTGCTTTTCTTATTCCTATCAAGCCATCGTGTGGATTAATATGGATTCTGAGTCCATCCGACATACCTCACCTTGCTGCAACGGCCCTGCAAAGTCGTAGAAGAAGAAGAAGAAGAGTTTGGATTTGATATCCCACTTTATCACTACCCAGAGTCTCAAAGCGACTAACATTCTCCTTTCCCTTCCTCCCCCACAACAAACACTCTGTGAGGTGAGTGAGGCTGAGAGACTTCAAAGAAGTGTAACCAGCCCAAGGTCACCCAGCAGCTGCATGTGGAGAAGTGGAGACGCGAACCTGGTTCACCAGATTACAAGTCTACAGCTCTTAACCACTACACCACACTGGCTCTAGTCTCATTTAAACATGATCCTGGGAAATAATGAAGAATGGAACCGTGTGGTGCTGCACATGCTGATTCCCTATTTAAACTGGACCCTCTTACATATGGAATGTTAAGCCTGACATTGTATATTCTCAACTGCACTATGGATTCCTTGGTGGGCTTCTGCAGCACACACAGGTGAGGCCACCAGGTTAAATGAAAGCCCTGTTCATGTGGTACTTGCCAACTTCTAGGGACCACCCCAATATAATATTTGAGGGACCCGGGGTCCCCTAAAATTGATAGGTATACTACAAAGGTTGTAATGCCTATGTTATAGAACCATAGACTTGTAGAGTTGGAAAGGACTCCAAGGGTCATCTAGTCCAACCCCCTGCAATGCAAGGATCTCAGCTAAAGCATCCATGACAGATGGCCATCCAACCTCTGCTTTAAAAACTCCAAAGAAGGGAGACCGTCCCAGTCACACAGCTCTTACTGTCTTGATGGGATGGTTGCCTTTCTGCCTTCCCCTTGGTTTCCCCTGCTGGGTCAAGTGCAGATATATTTTAAAACCAGTCCTACTTCCATATATCTTCCCATTTAATCCAGGTTACTTTGGGGTGGGGATTGGATGGCATTTTGATGAGAATGCATGCATGAGCAGCAACAAGTCCATTGCCAATTATAGGGCAGTACAGACCATTCTTCTGCAGCATTCTTCATAACCTGACTGGTGCTCTACCCTGAGCAAGGAATGCATATGGTGGAGGGAGAGGTTCCTCCCTTTTATATAAAAGGTAAAGGGACCCCTGACCATTAGGTCCAGTCGTGACCGACTCTGGGGTTGCGGCGCTCATCTCACTTTATTGGCAGAGGGAGCCGGCATACAGCTTCCGGGTCATGTGGCCAGCATGACTAAGCTGCTTCTGGCGAACCAGAGCAGTGCACGGAAACACCGTTTACCTTCCTGCTGGAGTGGTACCTATTTATCTACTTGCACTTTGACGTGGTTTCAAACTGCTAGGTTGGCAGGAGCAGGGACCGAGCAACGGGAGCTCACCCTGTTGCGGGGATTCGAACCGCCGACCTTCTGATTGGCAAGTCCTAGGCTCTGTGGTTTAACCCACAGCGTCACCCGCGTCCCTTCCCTGTTAAATAGATCAGGTCAATTCAATGGGCTGAATAAAGCATGAATAAAGATTTGTTTTCGTTGCCTGCATGCAGCATAAAGAAAACTGCTCTCAAACTCCCTAAGTGCTAAAGTAAGGGTATTTTCAATCCTGTTTACCCTGGCCTTTGACAACAGAGATATGTATCTTATTCCTGTGGTTGTAATTTGAATCAAACTGTTTTTAATAATGAATTTTAAATTGCCAGAGCCCAGCTTGGAATATTGTGGTGAAGGGCAGGTAAGAAATCTAAATAACAATAATAATCCTCAGCATGCTTTAAAAACATGCTCCATTTGTGTGTGCAAATGTGCTTTACCAAGAAAAGCAAATCTTCAAGGATGAAATTTTTGTTGTGGGTCACTTAACATGTGCTATCTGAAAGTTCTAAGTGCAGAGGAGAACAAGGAAGTGAGCCAAACAGATGGGCTGTGCTTGAAGTTTGCAGAGCAGGAGGTGGAAAAACGAAAGTAGGAGGCTTTCTCCCTTCTTCCTGCTTTTCTCGCCACTCCAGTGTCCTGCCTTCTTTCCTTTGTTCCAGATGAGTCAGATTGTGCAGGCCTCTTTGAGTTCCTGGTATATTTAAGAGAAAGTTTTGGAGACAGTTAGCAAAGAGCTGCAGTGCCAGGAATGTGTTGATCAGCCTCTGAAGTTGCTTGAACAGAGTGGAGAACAATCAGGCTGCAAAGAAATATAAAGTAAGTATAATTATCATGGTACTTATTTTTTGTGGGCCAGCTTTCAGAACAGAATTCCTTCATTCCTTCCAGCCTCCTGGCCCTTCATTCATGCCTGAACTCAGTTTCAGCCTTGCAATTTTTTAAAAAGCATTGCATTCTAGTTGGAGCGCAAAAACAAACAAACAAAAAAACCGGCATTCAAAGAGGCATGTTTAGAACGTTGTAGCAATTTTGGCAGACCTCAAAGCAAACTAAGCTGGAATAAAAATAGAAGAGGAAGCAATACACTTTTTCTCTGCAGTAACTCCACAGAAAAGAAACAAGTATTTGTTTTGAGAGGTTAGGAAGGTATGTTCTGTATAGTCTGGTGTTGCTCAAACTTTCTCCAGTTTGGGCAGCGGTGTGGATATACAGTTTGAGCCCACCCTCGCCAGAAATCAAGGTCTTTTGATTAAAATCAAGAAGAAGAGCCAGCCCCTTCCCAGGTCCCAAGAAGTAGATCGTTAAAGAAGAAAAGAGTTTCCCCAAAGGTTAACATGAAAATCCTAGCCATACTGTAATCTGCAATATTTATATTAACCTGTTTCAAGGGTCTTGTTCCCATGATCTGTGGTTGTGAAATCTAGTGTAGTGCATAAGTCCCCTTAAAATCAGTGTTTGCTTCTGGGATGTTTACTGCTGAATAAAAACATGCAAAGGCTTCAGCTGAGGAGGTTCCAGATTTCAGGGTTCATAGCTGCAGCTCTGGTTTAACCTGGAGAAGTTCAGTCCATATTTAAGCAATTGTTCAGGCTCTCTCCACTTGTTAGATCCTTCAGTATTTTGCAGGTGACAAGTAGTATACAGCAAAGACTCCATGGCCATCCTTCCTTCTGTTTTCAGTGTAACAAACTGCTGAAAGCATATTTCTGCCTGCTGGTGGAGTGTTGCCAGCTTACTAACCAATCCTTTGCTAATGTGCTTCAGTTGTGGCTTCCTGCAGCTCACAATTGTGGTTAAACGGTCCCAAGTGCTGGAGGTTTGAAAAACTGGCAGCCCCGCTTGTTAAGAGGAATTGATCAGGGGGAATTGCACACTATTTTGAGGAAGACATTGGAAATTTAGGTTTGCACAACTAAAGTGCTATGTTTGGCCCAGTGCCACAAACCCACTTTTTTATTTAATGGACTTGTTGTTGTTGTTGTTGTTAGGGAAGTGTTGGGGGAATTGCACTGAAAAGTGTGGGTTGAGTGAATGATTAGCAGGGAGACATGTTAACACCCCTCAAGCAAATCTGTATGAATGTGCATTGTTATATAACTGCTCCAAAAAGCAAATCAAGGTGAGGGTTTAGTAGAGACTGGTCATAGTCTCGCCAATCAGGATGAATGCTGAATAAGCAAGGTGCTCTGGAGCAGCCTTTAGTTTGCAAAAGCCACTGGCTTCTGAAGCAGGGTTGCTAGTCTCAGCTTACTAATATAGTGGAAGGGTAGTCCTGGGTTGTGGTTGCTTTTTAAAGGCAAATTAGGGACTGTGATTTACCAAAGACAAGCACCAGAAAGCAGGAAGTGTGCCTTGCAGACAGATAAGGTACCAATGAAAAGTATTGGTAGGTCCCATCCTACCCTTCCAGTTTACATAGGATTTGTTTCATTAGCCCCCTACTTCATTTCTCAGATTTTTATACTAGGGTTTCCAAAATTGTGATCCACTTCACTCAGGTGGTTTGCATTATATATGTGGAGTTTGATATACTTTAGTTATAGACTAATTTCTACAGATTGCATCCTTGGAGAGTTGTATCTTGACACCTAAACTGATGCCAGATTGAAGAGAGGAAATCTCTTTCTCCTGCAACACACGAACTTTGGCACAAGCGTTAATTAAGCTGGAGTTCCCCATTACATTCAAACTGAAGAACTTGGGTGTCAGTTAACAAACCAGGATAAAAAAGCAGGGTGAGATCATGGAAGGACCATGCAGCCATGGTGCTCATCCATGGCCTCATTCACTACCCCTGGTTACAGATGTATGGTCGTGGCTATAGCTATTCAGTAGCACGGGAAAGCATTTTGCCCGTGCTTTTAAAGAAGCTTCATTTATTGTCCAGGTTCAAGGACGAGCCACTGGACCTTAAAACATCCAGACTATGGTTTAAATTAAATCATAGAATCATATAGTTGGAAGGGACCCTGAGGATTATCTAGTCCAGCCCCCCGCAATGCAGGAATATGCAGCTATCCCTTACAGGATCGAACCTGCAACTTTGGCATATTATCAGCACCACACTCTAACCAACTGAGTTATCCAGCTGAAATCCTAGAATTAAATTCACTCAAAATACATACAAATTTCTAGGACCTGTCTACCTAGCACATTTGAATTAATTTCACCTTTCATGACTTCTCCTGAGGAATCTTGAACTTGTCATTTGTGAATACAAATGTAAATTCTTTGCACACAGAGAGAAAAATAGAAAATTAAGCACAATCCCCATGTATCCTGTGCAGAAAGAAAGTTTGAAAGCTATAGTATTGAAATATATTTAGTGGATAAAGCTATCATCCATCCTTTCCCATGACAAGCACCAGAAAGCAGGAAGTGTGCCTTGCAGACAGATAAGGTACCAATGAAAAGTATTGGTAGGTCCCATCCTACCCTTCCAGTTTACATAGGATTTGTTTCATTAGCCCCCTACTTCATTTCTCAGATTTTTATACTAGGGTTTCCAAAATTGTGATCCACTTCACTCAGGTGGTTTGCATTATATCTGTGGAGTTGTGGCTGAAGACAGGAGATAGTTTAACACCCACCATGTTAAACATCCATGTTGATTTTTAATTGCATTTTATTGCATATTATTATTATTATTATTATTATTATTATTATTACCCTGCCATGACAGCTACTCTACCCTTTTGTGGTCCTATATTCTCCACTTCCTAACCCCTCTCCCCCAGACTGGTCCATGATGTGAATGACAAAAGATTAGTGCAAAACCAGGACCTGTTGCTTCCTCCATTGTGAGCAGAAGTGGCCCTGGGGACATGGTCCTGGCTTTCCAGGGCAAAATGATGAGTGAACATGCTTGGTAGCTTGCAAGCCTGTTTTCCAGTAAGGTGCTGACAGTCTTTTAGAATGATATAAATTCTGATTCAGATAAGCAGAACTCCATGATCATACCCAGTGCAAAGGAAGCCATTTTTGCTCCAAGTTATTAAAATACATTCTTTCCCCTCAAATAATTCTGGGCACTGTGGTTTACCTCTCACAGAGCTGGAATTCCCAGCAACCCTTAACAAACTACCATGCCCAGAATGCTTTGAGCAGGGAAATTGCTTTGAATGTGCTTCAAAGGCATAAAGGGTACGCAGAGAACAGCATAAGTCTCTTTTTTTTAAAGCATTTGGGGTATAAGAATATTGCATCAAGGTTAACACTAGGATCTTTTTTAATAAACAGAACTTTGAAACTTGTGGCCATGAAACAAGGAGAGGAACTTAAAAGCAGATGTCAAACTGTTAAAGGCACTTTTGTATAGAATCCCCCCCCCCTTCTTTCAGTATCAGGCACAGATATTCAACACACTCACCCCCTGTAAGCCACACTGGCTATGCCAGTGCCAGTGCTTAAGCCTGCTAGTCAAAATACCCAGCAAGGCACCAGTGGGATCTGATGTGTGTGTGAGAAAATCAAAGTCAGCAATTGGTTTGGTTAAATGTCCTAAGATATTTCCTTTCCTTTTGTTCAGCACTGCAGTTGAACCAAGGTTTTGTACACACAACTGTATCCGTACCAAAGGGGCCTGCCAAAAACATTGGCCACTTTCTACCTAGTCAATCTTAATTTGTGCTACCTGAGGGGCAAGAAGAGATACCAAAGAAGTAGGGGGGAAGGCCCTTCCTTTGGTTCTTCACAATTTCTGTTTTCCAGACATGCTTTCCTAAAAGCTAAAGCCAAGTCACCACTTAGGTTTCTGCTCTTTGGTGCACATCCAGCCCGTGTTTCCTACTGACCTCCTCTAGAAGGCAAACTGCTCAAGGGAGAGAACACATTTCCTTGGTATGGCCTGACCTTACTCAGCTTTCCTACCTGTCATCTCACCTGGAGGAAATGCTTGGGAAGAGACAGATTTGAGCATACCATGGAGATGGATGAGGGAGAGGAAACATTCCTTCCCTCTCATTTATATGTCCAGTATTCAACTTTCTCCATATGTGATCATTTAAGACACAAAGGATGGTAGTGTTAGGGTTGTCAGCTGTAGGTTAGATGATGTATCTCAGAAATATAAATTATTGAGCCTTACTTGCATTTCTTCAGCCTGAATTTTATCTTTTGAAAAGCAAACATTAATGTTAAATGTGCGTCTTCTTTTTCAGGAAAATGAGGAAGCCTTTTATTTATTGGATATGCTTGTCTTTCACCCTCTTGACCATCTGGGTTCACTGTGAATCAGCTGGGAGTGTTTGCAAAATTACAGATAATACAGCAGACTGTAGTCATTTAAAGTTGACTCAGATTCCCTCTGATCTCCCAACCAACATAACAGTTTTGGATCTTTCCCATAACCAGCTAAAAACACTTCCACCTGCAAACCTTACAAAGTATGGACAGCTTGTTTACTTAGATGTAGGATTCAACACCATCTCTAAACTGCACCAAGAACTGTGTTTGAATTTGCCTTTGTTAAAGGTTTTGAAGCTGGGACATAATCAGCTGCATAAATTTCCTGACGATGTTTTTATTCACTGTGGCAATCTGAAAGAACTTAATTTGGGATTCAATATACTGGAAATAAAAAATGAGCCTTTCATCAATCTGAAGGTAAGAAGCAACTTTCACCTGTGATTTTGCACATGAACTTGGATGATGGCCGAGTCAAATTCAGATCAGCAGGGAAGAGGGGTGGGTAAGACATGGCAGTAAGTAGTTGCCTTACACAAAATCCAGATCATGGATCAATCTGTCTGGCTAATAGTTAGTTATTTTTTACTGGCAGCACTTATCCAATTTATCAAGTAGAGGTATTTTCCAGATGGGCCTGAGATCCTTTAATCAAAGATTCCAGGATTCAACCTAAAGATGAGTACACAATGAAATAAATGCTCTTATATATGCCTCCTCCATGTCATTAGAGCCTATAAGGGACATGCGTGGTGCTGTGGTCTAAACCACTGAGTCTCTTGAGCTTGCTGATGAGAAAGTCGGCGGTTCAAATCCATGTGATGGGGTGAGCTCCTGTTGCTTTCTCCCAGCTTCTGCCAACCTAGCAGTTTGAAAGCATACCAGTGCAAGTAGATAAACAGGTACCACTGCGGGGGGGGGGGGGTTAATGGCATTTCTGTGTGCTCTGGTTTCCCTCACGGTGTCCTGTCCATGACCCGGAAAGCTGTCTGTGGACAAACGCCGGCTTCCTCAGCCTGAAGAGAGATGAGCACCACACCCCATTGTCGCATTTGACTGGACTTAACTGTCCAGGGGTCCTTTTACCTTTATATACATTTGTGTCAAATTCAACCAATTGTACATTTCTTCCTACTCTCTGTTTTAAGTCAATCCTGTGATCCATAAACATGTAAGGGGGTTACTTGTTAATGTCAATACGTCTGTGTAGGAGTGAATAAGAAGCTTGAAAGTTTATGATATTGTGTAATAAATGTACATGTACATATTCTGGAAAACTCTGGTTGGCTACGGCTTCCTAGCATATCCACTGCAAGTACATGCAACAGATTCCATGTGCATCACATATTAGTAATTTTGATATACTTTAGTTATAGACTAATTTCTACAGATTGCATCCTTGGAGAGTTGTATCTTGACACCTAAACTGATGCCAGATTGAAGAGAGGAAATCTCTTTCTCCTGCAACACACGAACTTTGGCACAAGCGTTAATTAAGCTGGAGTTCCCCATTACATTCAAACTGAAGAACTTGGGTGTCAGTTAACAAACCAGGATAAAAAAGCAGGGTGAGATCATGGAAGGACCATGCAGCCATGGTGCTCATCCATGGCCTCATTCACTACCCCTGGTTACAGATGTATGGTCGTGGGCTATAGCTATTCAGTAGCACGGGAAAGCATTTTGCCCGTGCTTTTAAAGAAGCTTCATTTATTGTCCAGGTTCAAGGACGAGCCACTGGACCTTAAAACATCCAGACTATGGTTTAAATTAAATCATAGAATCATATAGTTGGAAGGGACCCTGAGGATTATCTAGTCCAGCCCCCCGCAATGCAGGAATATGCAGCTATCCCTTACAGGATCGAACCTGCAACTTTGGCATATTATCAGCACCACACTCTAACCAACTGAGTTATCCAGCTGAAATCCTAGAATTAAATTCACTCAAAATACATACAAATTTCTAGGACCTGTCTACCTAGCACATTTGAATTAATTTCACCTTTCATGACTTCTCCTGAGGAATCTTGAACTTGTCATTTGTGAATACAAATGTAAATTCTTTGCACACAGAGAGAAAAATAGAAAATTAAGCACAATCCCCATGTATCCTGTGCAGAAAGAAAGTTTGAAAGCTATAGTATTGAAATATATTTAGTGGATAAAGCTATCATCCATCCTTTCCCATGATAGAATTATTATATTTTATTTCATGACTCCTAAGGATTACAAGCTTAAAAGGGTGATAGAGCTAACTGATAAAAATTGATGCAATCTGAAACAGCGTTTCAAACATGCTGTAGTCATTGTTTGACATGTTCTAACCAGACAGTGTAAAACTGAGTTTAAAAGCTATGCAGTCAGTTGTGAGGTGAAGGAAAAGACATAACTTTCTCCTCCTTTGTCTTTCTCAGAAATTGAGTTTGCTCGATGTCTCTCACAATCATTTAAGTACTCCCAGACTAGGCTCCCAGCAACAGCTGGAGAGTCTTCAGGAACTTGTGATGTCTCAGAATAAAATTACTGAATTGAGGAAAGAAGACCTAGACTTTCTTAGAAACTCTTCGTTAAAAAAACTGGACTTGTCATCAAACCCCCCAATGGAGGTAAATGTCATACAGATGGGCTTGTTGTATTGATCTTAGTTGTGCAGATGTTAACTGTATTGAGTTAGGATAACCTTAGAAGGCCATAATACAGGTTTGTGTTATTTTAAATGAATTTGATAAATGAGTAGTTGTTTAAATACCTTATAGGTAAAAATACTAATATATTCGCTGTTTTCTTTATATGATTGGCAGCTTAAAGAATTTTGATTAGCATGTCCTGTTGCATAAGAGGGAACACAGCTTACATAGAGTTGAAACTAAATACAGTGGTACCTCGGGTTAAGTACTTAATTGGTTCTGGAGGTCTGTTCTTAACCTGAAACTGTTCTTAACCTGAAGCACCACTTTAGCTAATAGGGCCTCCTGTTGCCGCTGGAACACGATTTCTGTTCTCATCCTGAAGCAAAGTTCTTAACCCGAGGTACTATTTCTGGGTTAGCGGAGTCTGTAACCTGAAGCATATGTAACCTGAAGCGTATGTAACCCGAGGTACCACTGTATGAACAAGTTGAAGATAAGCAATGAATTAGAATTACTATGAATTTTTAGACAATGTCTGGAAAGAGCCCTGCCTCCCAGTTTTCTCTTTCTTTTTCCTTGTGGCAATGGCGGCTGGACTGTTTTCATCCAGCCCACAGTGATCCAGCTGTTGCTACTGCAAGAACAAGAGAGAAGACTGGAAGGCAGTTAGCTCAGAGGCCCAACCACAGGCCACAATGGCTAGAGCATCTTTCCAGAAGAACATCTGTGGTTGTGGTCTTGTGCATGTGCCTGCCAACCTGCTTGTCTCTCTTCATCTGAGGGCTGGGTTCCTGCAGGCTGGATGTGATATGGGAAGAAAGAAAGGGCCACCCAGGGTGGCATGGTGCCTGTAGACTGTGCACCCTTACAGAAAGGCCCAATGGGAACAATGCTACATTATGACAAATACTGTTTCCCCCCAACAAAATTGTGCCATTAATCAGTCACAATTTCACACACATCCCGAAACAGAATTAGCTGAATATTTCAGTCCAGGGCTAATTTCATGTAGCCACTGTTTTTGTAACCCCATTGTTTTGTATCTTTCTAGTTTCATCCAGGATGTTTCCGTGCTATCGGTAATCTCTATGGTCTTCTCCTTAATAATGTTCCATTGGGACCTGATCGCACAAAGAATCTTAGTTCTGAATTATCAGGAACAAGAATTCAGAATCTTTCACTGAGCCATGTGCAGCTTTCACAGATTTCCAACTCAACTTTCAGTGGAATGAAAGAAACAAACCTCACAATTTTAGACCTATCTAAAAATGATTTGTCTCGCATTGAAAATGGTTCTTTTGTCTATTTTGAAAATTTAAAGAGTTTGAATCTAATGAATAATAATATTAGATATATATATTCCCATTCCCTCTATGGGTTGCACAATGTAAATTATCTGAATTTGGTAAACTCTAATATAAAAAAAATTAATGATTCTGCTTTCCGGTGGTTAAAACATTTAGAGTGCCTTATTATGGATGGCAATAAACTTCTGGAAATTACCCCTAATACATTTAAAGGTTTAGAAAATTTGAAAAAGTTGAGTTTAAGCGAGTGCAATCTGACTGTAATAACAGAGAAAACCTTTTCATCTCTTGCTAATTCTTCATTGCAGTTTCTCAACCTAACAAAATGTGGAATCACTTATATGAAGGCTGGTGCCTTTTCTTGGTTGGGACAATTAACATCTCTGGATTTAGGTTTAAATAATATTAAGCAGGATCTCACTGGCCATGAATTTCAAGGTCTCAGTAATATTGAGACACTCTATCTTTCTTACAATAGTCATCTGAATTTGACAAGTGAATCATTCACTTTCACTCCAAGCCTTAGAAAGCTGAGACTCAGAAAGGTTGGTTGCAGTAATCTTGCCATCTCTCCCTCACCATTCCGTAAGTTAAGCAATCTGACTATCCTAGATCTTGGTAACAACAACATAGCTAATATGAGAGAGGAGATATTTGATGGACTCCACCAGCTTGAAATTCTGGATTTGCAGCATAATAATCTGGATCGACTGTGGAAGCATGCCAACCCAGATGGCCCTGTTCTGTTCTTAAAAGGTCTTCGAAACCTGCGTTTACTTGATTTAGAATCCAATGGCTTTGATGAGATTCCAGGAAAGGCTTTCAGTGGCTTATCTCAATTAAGAAGCTTGAATTTCGGAAAAAATAACTTTAATTTGTTTCCAAAGTTTGTCTTCGATGAACTGGCATCTCTGAGCTCACTCTTCCTAGAGAAGAACCTTATCACGGCTGTTGACGAAAAAGTGTTTGGGGGAATTTTCACAAATCTGAAGGAAATAAATATGGAGGGCAATCCTTTCGACTGCACTTGTGACAGCATAGCTTGGTTTGTTAATTGGCTCAATGGAAGCATAACATATATCCAAGGATTAAATAATTATATCTGCAACACCCCTTCTAAATATCATGCTAACAGGATTACACAGTTTGATACCTCACCATGTGATAGTGCACCCTTTAAATTGGTCTACATTGTGAGCACTTCTTTGGTACTGCTCCTCATCTTTGTAGTCCTACTCGTCCACTTTGAAGGGTGGAGAATCAAATTTCTCTGGAGTGTGACCGTAAACAGAGTCTTTGGCCACAGGGAATTAGACAGGCCACTGCTACAGTTTGATTATGATGCCTATATCATCCATGCCAAAAAAGACAGGAACTGGGTGTCCAAAAACTTTATTCCTCTTGAAGAAAACAGTCAACCAGAAATTAGGTTTTGCTTGGAAGAACGAGATTTTGAAGCTGGGATATCTGAATTCGAAGCAATCATCGACAGTATAAAAAGGAGCAGGAAAATTATATTTGTTGTAACTGAACATCTCTTAAAAGATCCATGGTGCAAAAGGTAAGCTAAAATTATTTTAATAACTGACATTCCATTTGTTTGTTGTTGTTTTTAGAGCATGTCTTCACTACCATCTTAAACTAGCTTCAAACCTTTAAATTGGTGTGATTCCCAGTCAAAGAATCTTTGGGGCTGTCTCTTTGGGGGAAATGATGAATTCAGTAGCATTCCATATGTTGCACTCAGATTGTCAGGACTCGAGAATCGGGAAACATCCCTGAGGATAATAACTACCGTATTTTTTGCTCTATAAGACTCACTTTTTTCCTCCTAAAAAGTAAGGGGAAATGTGTGTGCGTCTTATGGAGCGAATGCAGGCTGTCCAGCTATCTCAGAAGCCAGAACAGCAAGAGGGATTGCTTCTTTCACTGTGCAGCGATCCCTCTTGCTGTTCTGGCTTCTGAGATTCAGATTTTTTTTTCTTGTTTTCCTCCTCCAAAAACTAGGTGCGTCTTGTGGTCTGATGCGTCTTATAGAGCGAAAAATACGGTATTTGCTCTTGCAACTAGGGTTTGAGAGGTCACAAGCTGGCGGGGGGTGGGAACACTCTCATATATTTAGGGAAAGTTGCAAACAGAGGTGGCAGTGTTCATGCATTTAGAGTAAGGGCAATGCTTCTGGCATTCAGTCCAAATTATTTGGTCTTGTCACATAGCCAAAATGTATTGCATGGTTGTTGCAAGATCCTTGACTGGCTGTGGCATAAAGAAGCTGTGACTTAAAACAAATGTGGCTTCAAAGCAATTGCAGGTTGTTCCCAAGCTGTCCTTGACTTCTCTTTCATAATTGCTTGCATGCGGTTCATGGCAGAATCTCAACACTTCTGGAAACAGTTTTCATGGAAAAAATGATCACTGCCTCTCAGCCTAACCTGTACCTCACAGGGTTGCAATGGGGTAGAACCATGGGCACCATAAGTAGAGTGCAATTATAATCATATCCTCAGCTAAAAACACGACCACCTGAATACCCTATTCCAGGGGTCAGCAAACATTTTCAGCAGGGAGCCAGTCCACTGCCCCTCAGACCTTGTGGGGGGCCAGACTATATTTTAGAGGGGGGGGGAATGAATGAATTCCTATGTCCCACAAATAACCCAGAGATGCATTTTAAATAAAAGGGCACATTCTACTCATGTAAAAACACGCTGATTCCCGGACCGTCCGCGGGCTGGATTTAGAAGCCGATTGGGTCAGATCTGGCCCCCGGGCCTTAGTTTGCCTACCCATGCCCTATTCTGTGAACATTGCTTGTTTTTGTTAGCATTTTACCATTGACTCAGAGTCACCACATCGTAAGAGAAAATGAGCAATTGCATACATTTGTAAGTGAAATATTGTCATGTCCCAAATTAGCTCTCATCCCCTTTGTCTTCTGTCCAGGTTCAAAGTGTATCATGCCATACAGCAAGCCATTGAACAAAGTCGGGATTCCATCATTCTAGTTTTTCGGCATGACATTCCTGATTACAAATTGAAAAACGCACTCTGCTTACGAAGAGCGATGTTCAAATCTCGCTGCATCTTGGAGTGGCCAGTACAGAAAGACCGTCATGGTGCATTTTACCAGCAGTTAAAATTGGCACTTAAAACTAGTAGCAGGGTACTATGACATTTTAAAAAGGATCGGAGTAAATTATTTTGTATGCTTGAATTATCAGTCAAAATGCTACCCACAATATATAATATGAATGCAGGAAAAATATAAATTGTTACCTAATGAATGTAGAACTTTCCAAAGTGTTCTAGAGGATAGAGATTGTAGCCTCAACATCCCTTCTCACCACCCCATAGGAGGAGACAGGCACTTGAAGGGGAAATCATTTACCCAGCCAGATGAGAGCTCTGTTTAACGCCCTCTGCTGTGTCTTCTTCCCACAGGAGAAAAGTTGTTCTACAGCAGGCAGTCTTGATACCTCTTGCTGGAAGATACAGGGCTTGGAGGCAGAAAATGTAGATAAGGCTTGATGCCTAGGGTAGATAATGGAATGACAGTTAAATAATATATGGTGAATTGGCTGTGTCCCTTGTGATAGTTAATAGGCATATAAAGTTAACAGGTTTATAATAATGTATCTGTATTGTTGAAAAAAATCTTTGTTTGTTTAAAAAAATGTTATGTAGTTTTTCATTCTGAGTTTTCAGTGCTGACTCATCTCATTTCTTCTCCTTATCCCTTCCCCTCCCTATTTTACTGAGAACAGAGCTGAAATTAATGGATCCAACCTCATGTTCATTGGTTTCAGTGGGTCTACTCTGTGTGAAACTTAGTTGTTTATTGTTTATTTTCTCTGGGAAACACACATGAGTACCCCTGCCTACTCTACATTTTGATTCATGCTTCATCTAGCAAATCACCTGGAATAGACAAAAGGTGTGAGTGATCAGCTCACTCAACAAAGGAGAGATTTATGACTGTACAGGTTATCAAAGTGTCCGTAGGACTAAGGGGATTCCTTCTCAATCTCTTTGGCTTTGGCACATACAAAATAGGGCAACCAAAAAGAAAGAGATAAGTTCAATTACTTTATCACTATGGTCCCTTAGTAAATCCAGTGTAAACAAATTTGGGGGAAACAGGCATTACCACACAGGGTCTCTTATTTTTTTACTAAAGAAACTCATTTTTGTATATTCATTTCAATATATTTTGTATATTTCTTTCGGTATTAGAAGCCACAATTTTGGGAGCATCTATGGACTCTCATTAGGACAGCGTCAAGTCTATATATTTTCACTATATTTTTCTCCTTTCTGTTCAGATTCAGTGTTAAATATATGCTAATCAAGAAGACCTGTTTATGACCTGATTAAGAAGATACATATTTCAAACCATACAGTAACTACATGCACATATATTAAAAATATATAATGTTTTATACTTACTTGAATAAACTCCCCCAGCTTTGGTACATAGTGACAGGTTGTAAATATTCTATTTGAATAAACTTGATTTTTAAAAATATGCAGTTTTGGTAATTAAATTGTTATGAAATTTAGGGGAAAGGGCAAATTTTAAAGAAACAATAATAGTTTTTGTATATATAAAAATTGTGTCTGAAGGGACGCTTTCAGAAGATCTAAAGTTGAAAATAAAGGCTCCTGTTTACAGATGAACTGGTATGTGACGATTCCTTAATTACAGTAATTGGATTATCGCCATTGTGATGCGCTCATCTCATCTTTCTGATCCTCTTTTCACTTGAAGTGACAAGTTCTCTTGTCTAGTTTAAGCCATGAAAGCTGAGGAGGCTTCAAGGTGGTAATGCCAGGTTTCTTTCCAGGTAGATTATACTTTCTCCTATTTAAAGAGGAGCTCATAAAGATCTAAATTCCTCTGGTAGAATAAAACAAACACCATGTACTCAAGAGAATCATGTCACCAGTTTTAGGCACCCAAGTGAAGTACTTGAAAAGAGGCCTCTCTGATGCCACATAACAAAGCTGTTTTGGGAAACTTAGAGGAGCTTTATGAGCAATATGTGTTAAAACATAGAGATCCACTGAGCAGGGAGAATCTGCTGGGCACCCCCAAGGCCTTGACCATGTCAAAAGTAACTGTTTCCAATATTTCCTATGGTTGGGGTGCATTTTTTTAAAATTCCAGCTGGCCAGTAATGTTGAACTTGCACATTGAGTATAAATTGCAATAAAATAGTTCTATTAGTTAGAAAACAAAAGTAAATGTATCCATGAATTCTGAACACACTGAACTGATGCAGTGAAAAATGTTTTCATAAACATTTGGCTAGGTTAGCTTTATTTGGCTAGTTTAGCATAATAAACAACTAGGTTATTGTATTTATACGGTTCCTGGGTTTTTGAACTTTAAAGAATTGTGTAAAAAACCTGGACGCTGTCATGTAGAAGGGCTAACTGGCTTATTTTTGTTTCAGGCAGTTAGTTTTAAATATTGATACTATGGTAAATTTCCTACAACTACACTCCCAAACATTCCTTATGGATGTGTGAATTATTGTGCAAACTGCTTGGAGAGTAAAAGTAAATGCTGCCAGCCAGTTAGGGATTTCAGAATGCCACATTGAATGAAATACACCTTCCATCAAAATCAGCAGTAGGAAGAAAGATAGCATCTGAATGCGCAGCCAGCTGCAGCACAGACAATATCTGCATTTGGTTGCACAGAGGCACACAGCTAATGGCCATGGCTACTAAAGGCAACAATATCTTGAGACTGTGGGAAGGAAAGACAGAAACGGTGGGCTATATCAACCACAAATTTGCAGCGTATTTGTGATCAACTGTGTGGAGTTTTCACATGCCACATTGCAAACATACTGTACGCATGTATGATGGCCAATGCTGCAGTCCTGGGTGTGCATACTTTGAAGTATGTCCACTGAATACTGTGGGACTTATTTCTTAGGAAACATACTTAGAAGTGCACTGTAATTCACACTATCAGTTCACTATTTGCACATTCAGTGGCATACCTAGGCTCCCTTCCGCCATTCTCTGGCAAGGAGCTGTATGCCCCCTGCCGCGGTCCCTTGCACTGCTCTGTTGAGGCAGCCACAGCAATGGAGGAGTGGCCCAGAGAGCAGGTGGGCAGACTCCGAGCCACAGCAAAGACATGTGGTTTTTGCATTCCTCTGGGACTATGCCCTTGGCAGGGGCAAACCTAACCAACCCCTAGGTACACTCCTATGCAGCTTTAATATTGAAAGCCAGAAATGGGATGCTCTCTCACATTTACAGAGATCAGTACCACTAGATGCCAGAATGGGAGGTATTTGTGTCTCTAGTTGTCTATCCTCATCTCCTAGTGGCGATTTACAAAGAAACAAATCTTGCATGTTAATTGGTAATAGCACAAATGTCACATCTAACTTTGCCCTGGGCCCACTGAATCTTTATTGCACAATAAACTGATTATACAGATCAGTCAAATCTTGTTTCCCTAATATGTTTCTCTAAGGCGGTTTTTTTCTAAGACCAGATTCCCGCTATTAAAAAAAAAAAGCTTTTCTAGAAATTTGAGTTTGCTTTGCTCTCTTCACAGCACAAGAAATAGTTTTCTTGAAAAATAAAGCTTGTTAGATAATGGTAATCACATTTTTTGTGTCACAGTTTAGTTGTCAAGACGTGCTAAAAATGCATTATGCAGTTCTTAACAATACTCTGCTGATCAGTCTTGCATATTTTACTCTTTTTAAAAACCAAAATCCAATTATGTGTTTTAAGTTTATAAACCAAAAATACATGATCCGGTTCTATTCAGAATTAAGGTGTAACTAATCTGCTGAGTATTCCTGTAAATTATAATTTAAGAATGTAAGCACCACCTGAATCAGACCAAGGTCTAACTTGTTCAGCATCCTTTTCAATAATCCAGGCAACCAGTTGGTATTATGTGGTCTAACAGAAATTGCCCACTGGTCCACTCTTAAACCACTGTCTTACCTTTAAATACAGTGGGCCGTACTTCTGAGTAAAAATGCACAGAACTGTGCTATTAAACACATTTCCTAGGGAAATGAATTCTGCTGAACTCAGATTTACTTCTGAGCGAAATGCTTAGCAGTTTTCTATTCCTATGGCACTTAAATACAGCTGGATGTGTTTTAATCTAGGTCATTTGTTTCACATCATACACAATTATTCATTGATATACCGGTACTAAATAATATGCAACTTACATAAAAGTTGTTTTTTCTTCATAGATATTGAGTATGAATATTATTTTTTAACGTGTAAACAGCTCCTGTGACTTCTTCACACATCATGGGGCAACAAAGTTTGTTACAGATCCATGTACCCAGGGAAGGGAGCTGAAGCCAAAAAAATGGGCTCACTGAAAACACACACCCAATCCCGAAATGACAGACATTCAAACCGACTCTTGCCAAATTCATCCGATAAAATATATTTGAAGGGTTGGAACCTCGTGGCACACTTAGAATGGGAACATCTCACAGATTTAAGCAGTACAGTGGCACCTCAGGTTAAGTACTTAATTTGTTCTGGAGGTCCATTCTTAACCTGAAACTGTTCTTAACCTGAAGTACCACTTTAGCTAATGGGGCCTCCCGCTGCTGCTGCGCCACCGCCGCATGATTTCTGTTCTCATCCTGAAGCAAAGTTCTTAACCCAAGGTACTATTTCTGGGTTAGCGGAGTCTGTAACCTGAAGTGTATGTAACCCGAAGCGTATGTAACCCGAGGTACCACTGTACTTAATTCGTTCCGGAGGTCTGTTCTTAACCTGAAACTGTTCTTAACCCGAAGCACCACTTTAGCTAATGGGGCCTCCTGCTGCTGCTGCCGCACCACCAGAGCACGATTTCTGTTCTCATCCTGAAGCAAAGTTCTTAACCTGAAGCACTATTTCTGGGTTAGCGGAGTCTGTAACCTGAAGCGTATGTAACCTGAAGCGTATGTAACTTGAGGTACCACTGTAAACAGGTAGACTCCACCGTACGGCTGAGGCCTCACATTCTTACAATATTTCTCCAAGCACATTCCTTACAAGTCTGCTAATGAATGAGAAGGCTTGGCTGGGATCCTTCGCTGGCTTTCTAGAGGCAGGGAGTTATTTGTTGTAAAGGGGAAGAACATATTCAGACACCCCAGCCCTTCACCTGCAGTCTGAAGGGAGAAACAGCTGACCCTCGTCACTTGCTTCTTGTGAGAATTAGGCCTTTTACTGAGCTCCAAGGAGCTTTACATACTTCTAAGGAAATGTCTACACAGCACCGGGCTGAAACTATGTGGCATATACTTTAAAATATATGGGAAGTAGTACCTCCAGAGAAAGCTTGCCGTTACAAAGGGAGGAATGAAGAGCGGGCCCACAGGGCTTCCCGCCCAAGCCTGCAGGCTTCTGTTTTGGCAGAGCTGTGGCGCCGACGCGCGCACGCCCCTTCCCTGCTCGCCTCCTTCCCGCCGCCTCGAGCTCGGTGAGGGCGCGCGCGGCTGCAGAAGCATCTGCTGCTGCTAAGTGCCCAATTGCCGGCGCCTCGCTCGCTTTTTTTGTTTAGCTTAGCAACGGGCGCTCCCGCCCTCCGTCGGCGGCACCAGCGAGCGAGGCAGGCCCCAGGCAGCCGCAAGACCAGGAGACTCTCCCGCCTTCTGACGGCGGAGTCTCGCGCCTCGTCGCTCGAGCGTGCGGCTGACTGGAAGAAGGCGCTCCTTCGCTCCCCGAGTCCCTGAGGGAAGCGGCGGCGGCGCTCTCGCCGCTTGTGTCTGAGGTGACGCCGAGAAGCTCCTCGGGCCGGGCGGAGGCGGCACCATGAAGGTGGCGGTGCTCGACTTGGGCACCGTGTTTGCCAAACTCTTCAAGCCCTCTTCCTCCTCGTCTCCGCCTTACTCGCCAACCGCCGCCGCCTCCTCTCTCAGCAGCGCGCCTCAGCCCAAGGCGCTGCTGCCCCTTCCTCCGCCGGGGTCTCTGCCCTCTCGCCCCGCCGCCTTGCAGCCCGCAGGGGGCTCGTCTAGCATAGCGGCAGCCAGTCGAGGCGCTCCCGGCGGGGCGGCGGCGAAGTCCCCCGGAGGCAACAGCTCTCCGCGCTCGGCGGCGGCGGCGCCGTCCCTGCCGAGGGAGCCCGGGGCTTGGGCAGCGCCCGCGGGCAAGCAGCTGCTCTTCGTCACTCTGCCCGACATCGGCGAGGAGGGCGCGCCCGACGCCGACCCCCCAGAAGAGGCAGCGGAGCCCAGGCAAGTGGGAGTCGCGGGGACCCCGCCAGCTGGGGCGCCCTGGGAAATGCAGACCCTTTTACCCTGCGGTAACATAATCTCCGGGTGGTTGTAGCTACTTTGCCAACTGGTTGCCTTCTCAAGGGAGGCATTTTCTCCTTAAGGGGCGAGGAGACACTAACTCCGCTTCCCTGCGTTTCTGATCAGGTACAGAAGGTGGAAGAGAATACAGAGGCTGTATAGACCTTTTTATTTTGAGAGAGACAGCTTTGTATTTTTTGGGGTGGTGAAGGATTTGCTTGCCTTGTTAATTGGAGAAAGGTTTTAAGTTATTTCTAAGACTGCAAATGCAAGATCTCATTTTTTCTGGTGGTCCAGTTCATCTTGAATAAACCTCATACTCTAGTTCCCAACTTGCAGGATATTTTCCTACACAGTTCCCATGGATACCATTCTATGTTCACTTACTTGGGAGTAGGGCCTATTTAACTCAGTGGGGCTTACTTTCAAGTAAACGTGCAATTGATAGAGCTGTAGAAAATGTGTTTTGTATGTTCCTGGTTTGGAGTTTTGAATTACTTTTATATATATTCAGTGCATTTAAGCTTTTTCCATTTACACATAAATATAGACCCTACCTGCCAGTCATAGCTCTAAAGGTGCTCTACAACATACTGTGAAGCAATATGATATAAAACAATTTTCAGTCTCTCCTGCCCTGTGTCCTGTATGAAAGCTTTTAATGTGGGAGAGAAATTCTGTGTGCTGTGACCAACATATGAGTGCTAACTATGCATGTGAAAACATTTCAAAAGTTATTGGCTAGGCTATAAATTCAGAATAAAAACAGCTCTCATCCACTTTCTTTCTACTGTTATTAGCATTCACATGTGTAAAGGCAGTGAAGCGCAAAAGTGCTTTTAATTTCATATCTGAAAACGCCCACAGTTACTAATGTCAGTTTTCCACAGATTAAAAAAAAACAGTCAATGAACCTTTTCTTAAATTAAAAAATGACCTACTTCCATTTTGTATTGTTGCATCAATAGCTTCAAAAGTGATACACTAGAGATGTTAAAACATTGCTTGTGAAATTGCTCTGGAGGTTGTGCCTGTGTACCCTCACGTTTGTGTTTCAGGACCAATCTCCATAGAGCTATCACTCTCCCGAGGCACTGTGACTCCTGATTGATATGTCATGGAGCAAATGGGAGAAACTTGTTGCCATTACAGAGCTTCACAGGAGCCTATGACAGGCCAGTGTCAGAAACAGAAGGTGTATCTAGGTGGGCCCTTTGCTCTGATCTAACAATATGGTTATTGCGGTATTATGTTCCTCATATGAATTTGGAGGCACCCATTGTCACCAAAGGCACATGATGACTGTGGCTGTTAGGGCTGGACGATATGGTCCAAAAAAGATTTGAAGTCCATATCATGATATTGGTTTCATATTTTTTGACCTGGAGATATATCACAAATCATGGTATGCTTGTGTGTGTGCTATGCAAAAATCACAATGTGGGAAAAACCGTGAAGCCAGCCAGTGCTCCTCTCGATTCCTGCAGCCCCTGTTAACTCTGCTGGCTCAGCTCTCCCCTGCCTCCTGCAACGGGCAGCGAATCACAAGAGCAGGCACCAGTAAAAATCACAATGCAGGGGAAACTGTGAAGCCAGCCAATGCTGCTACATAGCTCTATTCTTATTTCAGACCTCATGATGTATCAGTATATGTTTAGCTGTTGATATACATCATGATGCTGAAAACCAGATATCACGAGTCCTAGTGGCTGGTGCAAGGGAGGCTGAAAGTATGGACACAAGAGACTGATACTGGGTTCAATTAGGCTGCAACTTTATTGATTATGCAAAATAGTAGGTTTGGCTAAGGCATTGGGCATGTATCCAGCATCAGGCAGCTTAGGAGCCCCATGAGGAGTCACCTTCAACATGGATTGGGTGCCACAAACCTGCGCAGGCCTCCATTGGGTCTCCCTGTGGATTCCCAGACAGTCACCCCTCCAGGACCCCTCTAAGAGGCTACTTATTCTCTAAAGTTGTGACAGTTGCTATGAGGTAGGTGAAAACCTGCAAGCCAACCAATTTGCTTGCAGGAGAGAATTTCTTCCTGTCCGCAAATATGGCATCTGAGTAAACCATAGCAAGGTCCATATGCCACTCACCCACACCTCCACTGGGCGGCCCCTAACAGACTGGGTGGGTGGATGAATAAGAAAATCCTTTAACGGTCAACCAAGAGGGCAGCCTGCACTTGGCCGCTCCCTTAAATAAGCCAGGGGCAGGCTGAGCACAGCTCTCATGCCCCTGCTCCCAATTGGCATTGTGGGTGCTGCCTGCCCATACCTGAAAGGTCCATTGTGGCCAGAGAGGGGGTGTCAGGTCGCCATCCCATCCCCTGGCCATGCAGGAGTATGATGGGCTCCCCAGATGAGCCTCAGCCATGCCGTACGGCAAATGCCCTCCACTCGGAGCCTTTGCAGATTTATATAATCTATAAATATATCTAGCAAGTGTTAACAGCTACAACACTAATTAACAGGAAAAGTTGGGTCTCCTGATGACAACTATACATGTTTTACCATACATTTGCTAAGGTGTATTTAACATCTCCAGACATGCTTCTCTTGATGCTGAGTTTCTTTGCATATGTTTAATAGCAAACCAAATATTTTATTCATATTAGGAAGGTATGTGGTGAACCTGCATTGTCTGCCTTTTAGAAAAGAAAAAGATACATAAGAGGGAATAAGATATGCCTCTTAGAAGAGGAAAGGCTATACCTTCACATTAGCATTTTTTTAATTAGACATTTCCACTTAAGCTTTTAGAAGAAACACCCTAATAAAATATTGATCATTGCAGCCTCCTTACCCTGAGTTCCAATTCAAGTTTACCTAGACTCCAGAATATGCTATTTATTTCAATTGTTATTCAGCCATGTGTGGAATGCATTGCCTCATGAGAACATAAGAGAAGCATGGCTGGATTAGGCCAAATGTCCATCTGGTCAGCACCCAGGCCTTACTGCAGCCAAGAGTCGCCGATGAGAAGTCCACATGCAGGGCTTGGGTTTTCTGGTTAAGAAAACACCTGGAAAGGCCTTTTGCAATTTACTGAAGCTGAAAAAATAATGTAGCTTGTCAACAGGCACTTCAATTCAAATTTAAGATATATTGTAATTAACCATAAATTCACACAAAAGTTTTGAGAGTATATTGCCAGTTAGTTTCATTTGAATTCAATTTTTTTCAATTACTTGTGGAAATGTGTTTGCCATATGCCCAGATTGATTCCTGGTGTGTCATTGGCCAAATAGAAAATTCTAATTGCTGATGTTAATGTATGCAGGTGATCTTGGAGCATGAACCCATTTGCTTGCCCAGTCACCGTAGGTAAGTTCAAGATGCAGAAGTAGTTAACCTAGTTTGAAAATACATGTGAAAGCCATCTTGTGAATTAATTCTAAATAGCTATTGGAGGCATTGGGCCAGTTCATGCTTGCACATTCATTTGAAATCTCAAAGCATCAAGTGATGACTTGTATGTATAAATGACCCTACACAGGTCAAATGCCATAGGTAGAATTTCCATCTTGTGTCACCTCAGATTTAGTGTTTCAGAGTGGAGCCAGTTCAGATAGTCAGTCATCATCAAGGGATCTGCATGCACTTGTGAACTAGGCCATTAGATGCAGGTGCCTGGTGCAGGGGAAAATATAACTTCATGTTCGCCAGATTTATAGGTTGATCACAGACTGCTGCTATCCAATATGCACAAATTTCCAATATGGATGACCTTATTGGTGAACAAATTCAAAGTTTCATCATATGCATGGAAGGCCTTATCAAAGAGCACGGAAAACACTGCTGACAAAAGCTATTTTCCAGTAGTTATGGAGTAATGTATTTAAAATTAAATGTTTATAGGAAAGTGGAATATAAAGTAAAAATTTAAATCAAAGACCACTAGACATGCAGCAAGTTTGGTTTTGATGAGTGAAAGTCAGATGTAAGCAAATGTTGTGAGCATCATGGGAATAGCTGATGCGATTACAATGTGCTTGTGTGCATGCATTTTTTCCGGTAATGTTACTCCTGAGGTTTCGTTCCTCTATTCAACAGACATGTTTTGCACAGCTTTTCTGCTTTCAATTGTAAATGCTCCCTGGTAATGAACAAAACAGCTCTGCCTTGTTGATTTGGTTGCTAACAGGGATTCACAGATTTTGGCATGGTTTATTCATTGCCGGCCCTTGTTTGTGGTTGCCATCGACCCATTCTTCTGAGTCCTCCTGAAGGGTGTGTGATTTCTCTCCTTATGCTGAGCTTTTGCAGATGTCAGCAAGGTAAGATTCTGTCTTCCAAAAGGACCCAGTGATAACAGAAAAACACCCTTCCCCAAGTTCTCTGAATTACAGATAAGAGGGAGGAGGGGTAATTCCGTTCTTCCCCTGGTTGTTGAAGACGACATGGCAAACATCTCTCCTACATCCCTAGGCCACAAAGAACTCAGAATCTTTGTGCTGGTCAGGACTAAGGGTAGTTGCCAGAGAGAGGAAAGGGCACTGATGCATTTCTGGAGTCTGGTCACTAAGAGTCATGCATAGCTTAGTAATGAGCACTGGGTTGTATTCAACTAAGTTATACTCTAGAGTATATTAAAACCACTGCTTCTTTTTGGTCCAGCTCTCACTTCCATACATCACTACTGGGAAAACCATAGCTTTCACTATATGGACCTTTGTTGGCAACCTGTCTCATATATAAAGCTCTATGTCCCGAGGAGGATGGCTTTGTAGCTTCCCATTGCACTGTCCCTTCCATTAACATCAATACATCTAGATGGGCGGGGTATAAATTATTATTATTATTATTATTATTATTATTAGTAATAATTCTACTCTGAGGGGGGCTAGCACTGAATGAAACCTTTTGTTCAGAAACAAAAACAACACAATGTTCCAAAATATTGCTTCCAAAATATAGGCGAAAGCCACATCC